GAAATACATATTTTAGTGCCATCAAGTTATTTTTTTAAACATCTGGCTTTTAGAGTTTACTCTTTCAAAGGAAAAAGGGAAATTATTTGTAAACTGAGATGCACAAGGGAGAGCCAACTATGAGTAGGAACAAAAATCCTACAGACGATTGAATCTCCACCGGTATTTTTATTATTTCCGTTGTTTTTACATGTACATGACAGGAGAGTGTATTTTGATATATGACACATACATGGAGTATAACTGTTCTTATGGTTGGTTGTACATGATACGCAGTTTCACTGGTCGTGTGTTCATATATGAACATAGCAAAATGATGTCCAATTCATTCTACTGTTTTTCCCATTCCCATTCCTGCCCCCTTCCCTTCATTCTCCCAGTGAACTTCTATTGTTTCCTCCCCCCACCCTTATTGTGTGTTGGCTCTGCATATCAGAGAGAACATTCAATCTTTGGTTTTGGGGACTGGCTTATTTCACTTAGCATGGTAGTCTCCAGTACCACCCAAAAATTCATAAAAAGTCATTATTTTTTATGGCTGAGTAAATATACCACATTTTCTTCATCCATTCATCTGTTGAAGGGCACCTAGGTTGGTTCCATAGCTTAGCTATTGTGAATTGAGCTGCTATAACCATCAATGTGGGTGCATCACAATACTATACTGATATTAAGACCTTTGAGTATATACTACAGAGTGGGACAGCTGGGTCAAATGCTGGTTCCATCCCAAGTTTTCTGAGGACTCTCCACACTGCTTTCCAGAGTGGTTGCATCAATTTGCAGTTCCACCAGCAATGTATGAGTGTACCTTTTCCCCCACATCCTTGCCAACATTTATTGTTACTTGTTTTCTTGATAACTGACATTCTGACTGGAGTGAGACGGAATCTTTGTGTAGTTTTAATCTGCATTTCTCTAATTGCTAGAGATCCTGAAAGTTTTTTCATATATTTGTTGAGCATTTGTATTTCTTTTTCTGTGAAGTTCCTATTCAGTTCCTTTGCCCATTTATTGATTGGGTTATTTTATTTATTTTTTATTTATTTGTGTGTGTGTGTGTGTGTAAGTTTTTTGAGTTCTAATAGATCCTGGAGGTTAGTGCTCTATTCTGAGGTGCAGGTGGCAAAGATTTTCTCCCATTCTGTAGGCTCTCACTTCATGTTCTTAATTGTTTCCTTTGCTGTGAAGAAACTTAATAGTTTGTTACCATCCCATTTATTAATTCTCGATTTTACTTCTTATGCTTTAGTTTTGTTGAAGAAGTCAGTTCTTAAGCTGAGAGTGTGAGTGGAACCTACATTTTCCTTTAGTAGGCACAGGTTCGCTGGTCTAATTAGTGCCATAAAGTTTTTTGTTTTTGTTTTTTTTTTATGGCACTAATTAGACCAGGGACCCACTCTCAGCTTAGGAACTGACTTCTTCAAGTCAGTTATTTTGTGTGTAAATACACAATAACAAACATGCGGCCCCTGGGGATTGAACCCAGGGGTGCTCTACCACTGACCTACATCCCACCCCTTTTTGTTCTTAATTTCTCTGAGACTTAGTCTTCCTAAGTTGCTGCCTTGAACTTGCAATCCTCCTGCTTCAGCCTCCCATGTTGTGCCCAGCTATCACTTTTTTCATCTCTGCAGTATAATGCTTTGCAAAGCTGAAAAATGGGCTTACTCTACTTTTCTAATTAAAACATTGCTTTAAAAGTTTGTAAAGGTCACTGAACTAACCACACCAATGATGGAGTTGGGCTCATTTGTTTTGGTCTAAGAAAAGTATTTAAACTTGAACATATGGTGGTTTCAAAGGGAACACAGTTGCGTTAGAGGGACTGCAGGATGATGACCTTCCCACCAAAGTATTTTCTGCAGTTTGTGGAGGAAAAGACATGCGCACAACCTATGATTGTGGGAACTCTAAGGGTTAAGAAAAGTCTATTAAGGAGGAACTTAATCGGATACATATTTTTAAAAATAAGTAGAGAAGAGTGAGTAAATTATAGGAGGACAACTTTAACAATGCAACTGCCAGAACTTCCTGAACATAAGGCCTGTGAAAAAATCACAAAGTAGTGTTATGTTTTCCTTTGGTGATTAAAATCAACACAGATACAACTATTTAGAAGTAAATTTACATCCAAAACTAGAAAAAGAGAAATGGCTTACTCTTGAGATTCCCATGCTTCTTTTACCAAAATGGCAGGCAGGGAGAAGTTGCAGAAAAGAGGGAGTCTATAAAGTCTGCTCACAAAACCCTCAGCCTCCTCACCTGTATCCTCCAGGGATCAAGCAGTCATGCACAGCTTTTTCTGGAGAGCTACATGTGTAACGTATCAAGAATTTAAAATCTGGCAGGCTAGGGCTGTGTAACTCACTGGCAGAGCACTTGCCTAGCATGTGTGAGGCACTGGGTTCAATCCTTAGCACCATAAACAAATAAACTAAGGGCATCCTATCTATCTACAACTATAAAAGCATTTTCTAAAAAATTAAAATCTTGGATACAAATATTATATTTAAATCCTAATATTTTCTCCTTTAAACTTAATATTTCCTAAATATTATAAAAGTCATTCAAACTCTAATTATAGACATAAAAATGAATGCCTATAATTTTATCACCCAGAAAAAAAACAATGTCCCCCCCCCCCCCCCCCGTTTTCTTTTTTATGGTACTGGGAATTGAACGCAGGGCCTGGCACATTAGGCAAGCACTGAGTTTTATCTCCAGGCCTTGTAAAGTCTATTTTGAGACAGGATCTTGCTACTTTGTCCAGGCTGGCCCCAGACTTCCCTTTCTCCTACGTCAGTCATATGCCACCACACCCAGCTTCTCCCAGTTCTCTTACGGAGTATAACAGGATTCTTCAAAATAATTGGGATACTATATTAATAGTCTACACAACTATCTCAGTAACGGTAAACATTTGTTGCGTACTTTTGAAAGCCTGCTACTATAGTAGAGAATGGGAGCCAATAATGCATCAATGACACCCTTAAAGGCTACACGCTGTGGCAGATTTTAAAGGCTCCAACATAGGGATTCCTTTTCATTCAGTAGTTCAAGGAACTTTTGCTACTCCCATTTTTCAGATCTCAAAGAAAGTACATGATTTTTTTTATGGCAATTCCATCAACTTTTTCAATTGCTGCTTTAAATTTCCAAACTTGGAAACATCTTTAAGTGTATTGAAATTTTGTGAAATGCTTAAGGAGACTTCAATGAATGAAGTATATTCGTAAGTGCCCACAGTTCTGCTACCGGATGTTCCTATTTTGGCTTTGAGACATGAAGGATATGACTCTCCTCCCCGCTCCCAGTACTGGGAACTGAACCCAGGGCCTTTGTGTATGCTAGGCAAGAACTCTGACACTAATGCCACTGAGCTATGTACCTAGCCTGAAGGATATGACTCTTAAATCTAAATGAGCATCAGCCAATCTTCAAAAAAAATCAGCATACTCACAATCCAAAAAGCTTTAATAAAAGTTTAGTTATAGATGTAAAGGCACATTATTCAGAGTCAAGAAACTTGGGTCATATTGGAGAGAACAGTGACTGCATCTGCAGAAAATCATGTTCACATACAAGCCACAAAAATTATCAAACATGCTATAAAACAAAGAAAGCAAGGGAGTCCAGAAGGATGTGGAAGGTTTTCACAAGAAATGGAAGCAGCTCATTTGATGGCCTGCACTAAAAGGGAGCCTCAGATTCTAAAAAGGCAGAGAAACAGTCCCCAGTTCACCCTTGACCCAGAAGATGCAGGAGGCAGAACATGATAGAAACAATGGAGTGCCCAGAAAGGTGGTCAGGAGCCTGACTCACGTGAAAAGATCAGCACACCCTTTCCTGTTCTGACCGGTGTGAGGACAGTGGACAAAGAGGTAAAGGAAAGGCTGCTCTGAAGAGACACAGGGTCACTCAGTCTTGTCAGGGCCAGCCTTGCTTACCTTCCATCAACTGTGGACAGACAACAAGTCTTACGGACCTACCGTGCATGCTGGGCAGGTGCTCTACCATTTGAGCAACATCCCCAGCCCAACATGCTGTTTTTAAACCCGATATCATGCTACTAATTTATATAATAAATAAAGTTCCCTTTGTGAGATGGTAATGAGACTTCCATTAATTGAATTGTCACTATAATTAAAAATTATTTCTGATTATACTTTCCTAATTAACATGCAGATAATATCTTTGTTTTGTAACTGCAGAACACATACTTAATGGAAGAGTGGTCCAGATGCCTGCAGGGGACCCTGTGGCAATTTCAAGTGTGCTTTTCTGACACTGTTCTTTGTTCCCTGGTAAGACTCTCCACAGAGAGAGAAATAGGACATCACTCAGACCTTAAAGTTTTTCACTCTTGAGAGTGTAGCTCAGAGACTGATGGTTCAGAAGGCCTTCCTGCAGCGCTCCATGGGGATGAGGCCTTGGACATACAGGGAAGACTAAACCCCATTTCTACCCTTCTATAAAATTCTTCTTTCTCAGCATCCCACTGTGTCTCTGTCTGATGTCAAAAATCAACATGAGTTTTTCAGATCAGTACCTTTCGTTCACCTCTTTAAAAACAACAAAACACAAATCAAACTTGTATGGTAGGAAGGATATTTGCTTATAATGTAATGAAGAGGGTCTTCCATCCCCCATGTATAGTTTATCAAACGAAATGATAAAAAGTGACAAGGATTGATTATATTATTCTTGTTATTTATAAATGTATATGACAGTGTATCTCTTAGTTACTTTGGGTAAATGGGAAAAATTAATCCTTGTGAAAATTGAGTACTACTTAAGGCAATTAACCATAAGCCAAACTTCAGCAATATGGTAAAAACTACTTATCTTTACTTACAAAGAAAAATGCATGAACTTCCTATAACAATATGGGCATATAATTAAAAAACTCATAGTCACTTTACATTATTCTGTGGCTAGTAACATCATGAGGTGCTTTTAAAAGTTAGAAATATTGTACTATTTAGAAATACTCTGAATAGGAAAGGAAGTAGCTGTAAATTTTATTCTCAAAATTGATCAATAAGGAAGAAAATAACAGTTAAGCAGACAAAAAAGTACCAAAACAGGGTATTACTCATATATACAGAAGATATGAACAGTATAGATTCATTTCTAGTTGATTCAATCCTATTTACACATTTAAAATATAAAATTACATTTCAATCTGTCAAGAAGCTGACCACATTTAGCACCAGGAAAGGAACTTGACTTTAGCTTCTGATCATGACCTCAATATCCTGGAATAGGAAAAGAAATTTCATGGAATCTAGATGCATTTATCAACACCAATTAATAAAAATTAATTCTGAAAAGTAATTCCTGAATGTCATCCATTCACAAACGAGTCAAAGGCATTAGGACCTTAACACTTGGTACTACTTGATGTTGCGAACTACTCTCCTACAGTGGTTTGTTTTCATCTCCTCCAAGGCTTGTTCCAGTTGCTGAACTAAATGAAGTAGGGTGGCTGGGTCTGTCTGCAGAACTTTGGTGTTGTGGTCTCCATTCTGATTTAGGTGTAGTTTTATAGTCACTGCTGGCTTAATCTGTTGCCTGAGACTTCTGCTTGCAAGCTTGATGGTAAATAGAATAAGAGCACAATACTATTTAATAGACATGCAGAATATGAAATATTTATAATTACTTCACATTATACACAAAAATAAAATTTAAGATGATCACACACTTCAAAATGAAGTCTCCAAAACCTTTGGAGAGAAAAAATGAAAATATATATGAAACCCTGTGGTACAGAAAAATTTCTTAAATGTCATACAAAATGTGCAGATCATAAAGACAAAACCAATGAATTTAGTGTTATATTAATAAATTTTCTTCAAAGAGTACTTGAAAAAATTGGCAACATGTCTATAATTAAAAAAAGGTTAGTATCCAGAATGTATGTCAACCTCCACTGATGTAGTAAGAAAAAACAAAATCCAAGAGAAAAATGGATTTTTTTCTGAAAAAAATGAAGATATGAATTAAGCATTTTCACAAAAGACAGGTAAACATAGAAAAATATGTTCACCTTTACCATACATCAGGAAAATGGTAAAAAAAAAAAAAAAAAAAACTCATGAAATACAATTTTACATTCATCAGACTGTAAAAACTGAAAACCTAACCATATCAAGCACTGCAAACAATGGTAACGAAAAACTCTTGCTCATTCTATTGAGTGCGGTGAGAGATCACTTTGAAAACAATATGCATTATCAGCAATTCTACTCCTAGGCAGACACCTTCAACTCTTACACATATACATTTTACTCATAACAGTATTTGTTTTCAAGAGCCCAAAACAAAACATTTCAAAAAATCAGAAACATCTCAATAGAATGGAGAAACTGAGAATATTCACACACAATGAACTGTTCACTAAATGGCAGTGAAAAGAAATGAACTACAGCAACATAAAGTACTAGCATGTGTGAAGCATTAGGTTCAATCCTTAGCACCACAAACAAAGGCATGCTATCTACAACTACAAAAAAAATTTTTTTAATTTAAAAATGTCACAGAATATATGAAATATTTAAAAATGTACAATTTAGAGACAAAAAATATTTTTTAAAAACTATAAAGAAGAGTAACAAAAAACTCAGGATTATGATTTTCCTCTAGGTGGCTGGGGAAGTGGGGGTTAAAACTGGGAAGGGCCCAGATGACTCAAAAGTACTGATTTTATTCTACTTGCTAAGTTAGGTGATGGGTAAACATGTATTTGTTTCATTATTATTCTTTAAACTGGGCATCTTACAATCTTTTGTGTAATATGTTCTAAAGTGTAACAAATAAGCACTATTGACGTATTTTCAAAAGATAAAAAACACAAAACTATAAACAATGATAAACTTGAAGGGATGGCACTCAACCCCAGTGTAACAGAGTTCTCCAAAGACCCTCCTCCAGTAAAGAATCAGGGACCACTTCACAGCAGGAGCTGCAAAAAGGGACAGGAGTTGTACGATGAGCCTTGAAATATCTTACTACACAAGAAAGCAAGAAAGCTGTCACATCAGAAGGACAGGAAGTCCACTTGAAGAGACTTCTCAGTAAGAACAAATCTAAACCTGAGATTTTGGGATTAATTTAATAATAACAGAATATTCTAATAACTTCTTCTAAATAATTCTAGGTGAGATACTTATCCAAGGCTGCAATTTTAATGTTTTAAAAATTTTGCAATTAATGACTTCGTTTCCAAGATAATTTGGAAACAGGCCAATCCCTTTGGACGAACTAATCCTCAAACAAAAAATAGTATTTAATAAAGTGAAATATCTCTTAATATCATTTCCTAGAACAGAAAATTATAGATATGACATGCAAACTGTGACTGAAAATACTACTTATTCATTCAAATGTACAGTTTATTTTTGTGGGTTTTTTTGTTTTGCTTTTTCCTCCTGCATCTGCATTGACCGGGAAAAATGTATTTAAGTGTGTAATTAATACATTTTTTGTTGAAAGATTTAAAATCACTCAATTTATCCACCATTTTTTTTTTTTTTAGAAATGATATCTAAATTCATTGACAGATGAGAGTCTATGCCCTTCCTTTCCTTTACATTTAAGCATACCATTTTTTAAAAATTTTAGAAAAGGCCAGGCACAGTGGTACATGCATATGATCTCAGTGGCTCTGGAGGCTGAGGCAGGAGGACAGAAAGTTCAAAGCCACCCTCAGCAACATAGTAAGGCCCTAAGCAACTTAGTGAGATTCCGTGTCAAAATAAAATAAAAAGAGCTGGGGATATGGCTGAATGGTTAGGTGTCCCTGGGTTCAATCCCTGAGACAAAACAGAAAAATTACAGAAATTAGTTTAACATCCTAACAAACACAGAAGACATAATTAGGCCTCATTTTTTCCTCAGAAAGAAGTTAAATGACATTCAGTACTACAGGACAAAGAACAGAAACCCACATGGTCCACTGATATGAATTTATTTTTTAATGGGGATGAAATTCTGTCCTTCCTGTGAACATAACAATAACAGCAAATTTAAACTAAAATGTTGTATATCGATGCAAATTAGGGGAAAAAATGTTTAGTCTGAAGAACTATATCTCAAGGCCCTGAAGAGGGTAAAAAAAAGTAGGTAACAGAATACATAGGTCATGTTTCACTTAGTTAAAGTTGTTACAAGAATTTAGCCCTCTATTTGCCGCAGAGCAAGTCCTATAATATATGAGCAGGACAGGAAAAGGATGCTTTGATGCAGCTGTGAATGAACTAGCCCCCAAAGCAACATTCTTCAGCATCAGTCCCAGATGCATTCAATGTACATACGCTATTAACAAGGGCATCAATTGTGCTGATAATTTATGAAGTCTGGGGAAATGCTCCTACAAGAAGCTAAACTATGATTACTTTGTTTCCCACAAGCAATCACACAATAATTAGATGGTGACTGTCCATTCACCACCAGTCTCCATGAGACAAGTGAATTTACTCCCAGATGAAAGGCAGCGTGTCCTGATATTCATTTCCTACGCATTTGACTGGTGTGATCTGTCATGCTTTCTTCCCCCAAACAGCAAAATCCACTTCAGTCAGAACCCCTTCTAACAGTTTCATCTAATGAGCTCAGGGACTCCATTAGTCCTGAATAGCTTTTTCAGCTTTAAATTTATTTCACCACATGTGGCAAGTCCCTCAGTATCTCCTCAACGTTAACCTGCACTCATCCTCATGTTCATGCAGCAACTCAAAGTCACCTCACTGGGCAAATTAACCCTCCAGTTTAATTTTAGAAAACTCGATTTTGTAATTTCTAACTTCTAAAAATGTCTTCATAATGGAAAATCAAAGTAAATCAATAGGGGCAGGGGCTGGGGCTGGGGCTCAGCAGTAGAGCGCTTGCCTAGCATGGGCAAGGCCCTGGGTTCGATACTCAGCACCACATAAAATAAATAAAATAAAGGTACTGTGTCCATCTACAATTAAAAAAATAAAGATTTTTTTTTTTTTAAAGTAAATCAATAAAGCCCAAAAAGACTCTATGGGCTACTGAGGCCTTAAAAAAGTCCTAAAAGCCAGAGAACACCCACTCAAGAGTCATAATTATGTACAAGATAAATTACTGATGGACCACCTAAGCATGACCACCCCCATATCTCCACCTGGTTATTAACGAAAGATCTAAACACACAAGTTTAAACACATTGATGAAACTTTTATGTGCCAGGTACAGTGCTGGGCACACAGTATCTGCTGTCATGGAGCATGTAGTCTGGTTTATACCATATCCTCTGATCATGGCTACTCATCATGCTGGATTTTAGTTTATTTTTTGGTCTTCTTTTATGAAATTGTGATGACTTAAAGACAAGTATATTTCTTCATTGCTACACATATTTATCAACTTTCTGTTACTGTGACAAAATATCTGAGATAATCAACTTATCAGGAGAAAAGGTTTATTTTGGCTCAAGGGTTTTGCTTCCAGAGGTTTGAATTCACCTTTAATTGGTTCTGTTTTTTATGGGCCTGGGGCTCCTGGTGGGAGCACGTGGTAGGCAGAACTGTTTACCTCATGGAGGCAGAGAAACAAAAGAGAATTGGGAAGGGGCTAGAGTCCCAACATCTCCTCAAGGGTATACCGCCAACTGCCTAACTTCCTTCTATCAGACTCCACCTCTTCAAGTTTCCATCACCTTCCATCAGCACCACAGGATGAGCAAGTCTTTAATACACAGGCCTGGGTAATACACAAAGCCAAACCACAGCACTATGTCTACAAAGCCTGGCACGCTCCAGAAATCCAAGGAATGGTTTGATAATTGAATGGACATATGGTAGCATCAACTGATAAGTGGGATATAAAAAATGGTCTTTTCTGTGGTTATCTACATATACTAAGGATGCTGATGACAAGAGAGCAACCTCTCCAAGCCAGCCACACTATCCCAACCGAAAAACCTCAAAATACAGCATGACACGTACAGCTTTTTTCTGTCCAAATCCTAAGCCTTTCATCTTCTCAACCCCCTAATGGTCCTCAGTGTAAAATGCTACTCTTACTTCCATTGACACTGTATTGTGATATGGTTGTTCCTTTCTGAAACTATTCTCCCTTTAACCACCAGCTTTTCTTTTTTTTTTTTTTTTTAATTTTTAAAATTTTGTTCTTTTTAGATATACATGAAAGTGGAGTGACCAGCTCTTCTTTTTATCAACCATGAGTAACCAATGAGATTCAGTTCAGCTTTCAGAGAAATCACTCTCATTTGTGGTCTGAAACAAGTCTTGTATGCAAGTTCTACACCTATCTCTTCATGTGCTATGGACTGAGGCATACAGGGAAGAGGCTGTCCACAGCTGGCACATGGGCACTTCCTCAGCTGTAACAGGGATGAAGGCACAGCACAGGTCCTAATGCAGGCAGGAGGCAAAGTGGTGGCAGGAATGTGTCAGAGTTCTCTTCTGATTTAGAAGAATGTAGAAATACAGGAGATGATGAGACTTTGAAAAAAGAGCACATACAAGACATGCATGCTCCTTGCTATCCTAGGTTAACGGCTCACTGTGTGCTGTATAAAACAGGTACTATAGGAGTGAAATGGCTTTCCAAAATGGAAACACAGGTGCGTGAAAAGGAAAACACAAATGCCACCAAGATTAAACTGTAACTAGCAGCACAGGGAACTTCTCTCAGAGGGAGGAATCATTTTAAGCAAAAGCCAGCAAACCAACCACATACTTCTGTAAAGAACCAAATAATAAATACTATAGGCTCTGCAGAACCGCACAGCTTCCAGCACAACTAATTCAACTCTACCTTGTACTCAAAAGCAGCCATTGACAATATGTTAGCAAATAAGCATGATTATGTTACAATAAAACTTGACAAATAGGCAGCAAGTCAGATCTGACCCACAGGCCACAGTGGACTGAGCCCTGATGTAACCTGATATGTAAAAGGATAAGGAATACAATCAGAAGTAATGGCAAGGCAGAGGGAAGGCAGTTCATAGAGAGGGCAAAATACATAAAGCCCCAAGTTCTTCCTACTTCTAACTCCCACTTTCATTCTGATCTGCCCAAGATACCAGATAAATTTTCTTAAATGTGACTTTCTTTTTCTTTTTTTAGAGCTGTGGTTTTCTTCTTTTTTCTAAATGTTACTTTCTTATCCAAGAATCTACAAGAGCTTCCTATTTATTGTCTGTGATGTTAAGTCTAAACTCCAACTGAATTTCTAATCTATTTGACCACTTTACCTTAATTCAAATCATGAAGAATCTATTCTAACAGCTGTTCACAAACAGTACTTAGTATTATTTGGGTGAAAGGGAAGCTTTTAAAAATTCTCATGTCCAAGCCAAACCTCACACCAATAAATCAGAATCACTAGGGGTAGAACATAGATATTATAAATTTTTTAAAGCTCCCCAGGTTATTCTAATGTGCACTAAGTTTAAGAACCAGAACAGTATACCAGACATTTGTATATTCATTCCCACATTCACAGGGGTGGTTTTAACTTGTACTGCCTCCTCTTCCAAGAATATTTACTCTTCTTTTCTCTATTCCTTCTGAAATTTCAGTTTTTTTTTTTGTTTGTTTGTTAAAACTTTCTGGATCATGCCAGTACACACTGAACTATGCAAATAAATAAATAAAGATAGATTTTTTTAAACACTCAGTTGGTATCTTTATTTATGTAATTATATTCTTTTTTCCCTTCCAGGACCTATTTTATAACTACTTAAATCTCTTACACCTTTTAGTGTCCCAAAACATTTAGCATAGCTGTTATCAGCCAATGGATGATATTCAACAAACATCTACTAACTTATCTTTTACTGCATAATAAAGGGCTACATGCAATAGTTTGAAAATTAATTAACTAATTGATAAATTTGTTTGAGATGAGGTCTCACTATGTTGCTCTGACTGGTCTCAAACTCCTTGGCTCAAGTGATCCTCTTAGCTTAACCCCGAGAGGAGCTGGGACTACAGGCATGTGCCACTGTGCCTAGCCTTTCCTTTTATTAACTATGTGGCTTTAAAACAAGTGAAAGATAAGTTTCATAAAAATAATTTTGTGCAAAAGCCAGAGACCAAAGAGTATTTAACAAATCATTCCAAATGTGGAAAGAGAAAAAATGAGTAAACTCTATGTGTTAGAAACAAGGATGCTGGTTACCTTTGAAAAGGACAGAAGGGGCAATAATTAGGAGGAGGCAAGGAGAATCCTTCTAGGATACTGGTGATGCTCATGTCCATTTCATGGGAGTTTCACCACGACATAATTCATTATGCTGTGTACACTTACTTATGTATTTCTTATATATGTGTTATATTTAAAGAGAAATAATTTTAAAAAGTTAATACCACCTAAAATGTCTGCTAACCATTTGCTTTGCTAAAGTAATCAAATTAAGTTAAATTGAACACGTTATAAATAAAAGAAAATGAACTATTTGTGAAATGGTCTGAAAATGAACACTGATTAAAAAACCAGTTTCAAATCAGAGTTTGGTTGACATGGTAAAGAATACAATAAGTAGGACACAATCTTTAAATAATTCTTATTCTATGTTAGGTTTTTAAAAACACACACACACACACACACACACACACACACACCTGTACATCTAGTCGCCACTCAAGGCTGTGGTAACTGGGAAGGCTGGGTGCCAGTTCACCCAGAATAGTCCTGATCTCTTTTCTGTTGTCCAGGTAAAGCTGAAGCAACAATTTGTTCAGTTCTTCAGAGAATCCCAGAACAAAAACAGAGTCTTGGAAATCCACTTCAGAAATCTACAAATGAATTGAATTGAACAGAACATCAAAATCTATTTTTGTCAGGTAAATGATAAAATACTTGTTAAACACAAAAGATATATCTGATATCCCCTAATTCACTTGTCTAACATTCTTTATAGAGGAAGATAATCATTATTTACTATTCCAAGATCTGAGTTACTGTCACATAAAAAATGCTTTTTTAAAAATATAAAAAGAACTAAGATGCCCAATATTGCCTCCTATTCTCTGTCAAGTCAGATACTGCTGATGTGCAAGGAAAGTAGATCATTTCCTTCCTCCTCCTCATAGGATCCGTCCCCGGCCTACGGTCTGGGCAACACTGAATGCCGCAGGCGCCCTCACCATGAGCTTGGAGCTCTCGGTGAGCAGGTAGGTCAACCCTTCCACACCATGCTGGACAGCGTCGCTGCTCACGCTGAGCTTCCCTAAGAAAAAGGAAAAAAAAGAAATCAATCACCGTGCGACATTCTTCTTTTTGTTCAAATTCCTACCTAAAAATAAGTATTTTAACTCGGCCTCTGGCTTTCTCCTCTGCTGGCCGGACGCCTTCCGGACTTCCAGCCCAGTGCAGGTCCAGCACGCGAAAGCGCACAGCCGCTGGCCTAAAGGGCCGGCCCGCGGGGACCGCGCCCCGAGCCGCACCCGCTCGCTGCCCGGCCGACCCCCAACGCCCAGCGATTCCGAGGGGCGGGCAACACTGTGCTCCCCTGGAGCCGAGGAAACGACTCACGGAACTCCGGCCCACAGCCCGCGCCCCGCCCACCCACCCCTGGCACCCCGCATCCCGCCCACCCTCACCCTGTATCCCGCGGCCCGCCCCAGTCACGGAGGCTCCCGCCCGCCCCGCTTACTGGCGGCGCCCTCGTAGACCTTGGGGTTGGTCCCTCGCCTCAGGAACTCCACCGCTATCCGCCCGAACTCCACCACCACTGAAACGGAAGTCGGCAGGCCGTGAGCGCCCAGCGCCCGGCCTTCTCCCCGCACCTCGCCGTCGCCACACCCTTACCCGCGCTGTCCACCTGCGGCAGGAAGGCCAGGTGCTCCTTATGCTCCTCCGACAAGTCCAGCAGCATCTTCGCTGCACACCCTTTTCCACCCAGCAGCGCACTGGTCTTCCGCGCCACTTCCGGCTCCCGCGTCCAGAGCGAAGAGGGTCCGGCGCGGCAGCATCCTAAGCTTTGGGTTCCGGTCTACGACGGTCCTAGACTCGAGCGCCCCCTGCGGCGTATTCTGGGATTGCGGGTGGAGGTGTCCTACTAGAGAAGTCTAGAGGCAAAGCCTAGTGCAGGACGCTAGGCTGTACGGGGGAAATGGAAACTGTAAAATCCGACACCCCCGCCCCCATCACGTTTACAATACAATACGTTTACAATATCAATAGCTAATTTGTTAAGCCCTGTATCAGGAATGTTCTTACCACCCCCCCCCCCACCACCACCTTCCTGGGGTGGAACGCAGGGATGCTATACCATTAAGCTACTTTCCCCAGCCCTTTTTGTTCTTGAGATGGGATCTGCTAAGGTGCGGAGGCTGGCCTTGAACTTGCAATCCCCCCATCTCAACCTCTGGAGTTGCTCGGATTACAGGCTTGCACCACTATGCCCATGGCATGCCTTTACATTTATTAACTGATTTATGGTTCATAAGAAACCTGTATAGTAGGCCCATTATTATTTTCATTAGAGATAAGGAAACCAACAGACAAATCAAGCAACAGAAACATTTATGGAGTTATTTCTTTGCAGGATTTTGTACATCTTATATATCTCATTTAACGCTCTCAGTAGCCACATCTCCTTATCACTAGTTATAAAGCAAAACTCCAGAGATATGTGAGCAGATCAGCGACAGAGATGGAAGGAGATGGTCGGCCCCCTCACTTGCCTGGCTCCAAGACATGACCTTCTACACAGCAGCCAAACGCTGAAGCTGCCTTTCTTATTGTTTTTTGTGGTGCTGGGATGAACCCAGTACTTCACACGTGCATTATACCTGCTTTACTACTAAGCTACATTCCAGCCCCTGTAATGAGGTTTATGAGTGTTGCTAAAATTAGGATAATAATGATGGAAATAAGAATGCTTGCCCGATTCTCAGCAATGCCATTTTTTTATGTTTTGAGAATGCATAAGAATTTGGTCCCTTTTCCCATTCTCTCTTCTCACCTGCTATAGTTCACATATAGGAAACTATAGAATTGCTAGGAACATGACTTTCCACCTTTCCTCCCCTTGGTACGGGAGGGAGGTGAGTGAGAGAAGGGAAAGGGGAGGTAGAGAGGCACTTCGCATACACCTTTCATAACTAGGAATGTGGGGACTGAATTAGGCAAGCATTCTGCCACTGAGCTACACTCTCAGCCTTTAATTTTATTTTGAGACAGGGTCATGCTATATTGCCCAGGCTGGCTTTGAACTTGTCACCATCCTGCCTCAGCCTCACAAGTAGCAGGCACTGCAGGTACGTGCCACTGTGACTGACAAACAGCAATTTGTTTTTATGTTTTAGCCTCTCCATCTGTAAAATGGGTATTTTAAAGATTGCCTTTCTTTGCCATGCAGGGCTGTGATAGTGCTCCCATAAACTAATAAATTTACATTGAGAGACTTATTCTGATGATCAAATGCAACCATAAATTAGAATTAAGCAATTGAAAAACTTGTAAACGGAAGTGCCTGTATTTTATAGGAGCAGGGTTATGTACACAAATAATTGAGAATTCCTCGTAAGCCCGTCTTAAAATCCACTCACCTAATTCAGATATGCATTGGTTCACGCATATACTATGCCTCCGGAACTTGAGATGAATAAAACAATGTCCTTGCCCTCTAGAAGATAAAGACAGTAAAGTGAAGGAGACAGACACGTGATTTCAGCAGTGTGATAAGTGGTGACACTTGTGGGATGAATACAGTGGCCGGGAAGCACAGAGAAGGGGCAGTTAACCCTAATTTCATCAAGATCAGAGTAAGTGTCATTGGGTATCCTGTGCACGTTAATGATGCTTGACAGTTGCACCACAGGACAGGTGTGGCCATGCTTTCTTTCCGTTCATGCTGTCTCTTCCAGGGCTAATATGGAAAGAGATCAGATATACAGTATTTTCCCATTGATTCTGGCAGAAAGCTGGGCTTCAGACTCATCATTCCCCAGTGCTTCGCCTCATCTTCCCTCTCCCTTCACTTTCATTTCCCCCTCAGACCTTCCTGTGTTCCTTTCTTTTTAGGAATTTCACACCAGACTCTTTGCACAACACATTTCCTTGCCTGTGTTTTGATAAGACATAAAATATTGTGACCACTGCAAAAAATCCCAGTTGAAGTCCGCACACATCACAGGGACAGAAGTGCAGTGACCATCCTTCCTCCCAAGCTGCTACCTCATGAGTCTGCAGTTGGCACCAAATGCATGAGTTAACCTCTGGTATTTTCTTCATTATTTCAGTTTACTTTGAAAATTTGTACTATAAATGCATATTGTAAATGGGTCAGGTAAGACAATATTCCTTGTTGAATTTTCTCAAACACTTAATATTCTAGAGCAAGAACTAGAATGCTATCAACTCCCTGGAACTCTGCAGTGCCCCCATCCTGGCACTATCTGCTCTTACTTTCTTTATAATAAAGAAGTTTACACACACTCCCTTACATCATTTTTTTAACACACTCCCTTACATCATCTCTTTAACATACTCCCTTACATCATCTCATTAACATCAGCTTTGTATCTGCTTTTGCTCCAGTTGCATAATATCCAACTAGGAACTCAGAATTAAGTGTGTATGTGTGTGTGTGTGTGTGTGTGTGTGAGAGAGAGAGAGAGAGAGAGAGAGAGAGAGAGAGAGAGAGAGAGAGAGAAAGAGCTTTTAGATTTGGGGTGTTTTTCATTATTGTACCAGAATATATCTTAAAATCTTACCAGCTGGGCACAGTGGCACACACCTATAATCCCAGCATCTTGAAAGGCTGAGACAGGAGGATTGTGTGTTCAAAACCAGCCTCAGCAAAAGCAAGGCGCTAAGCAACTTAGTGAGAACCTGTCCCTAAATAAAATACAAAATAGGGCTGGGAATGTGGCTCAGTGGCCAAGTGTCCCTGAGTTAATCCCCGATACCACCACCCCCCAAAAAAACAACTCCAAATAGCATCAAAAACATAAAATACTTAGGAAAAAATTCAACAGAAGCCTTGAAAGACCTCTACACTAAAATTTATAAAGCATTGGTGGGGAAAATTAAAGAAGACTGAAATAAATTGGGGCTATGTTAGTCAGCTTTCTGTCATTATAACAAATCCCCGAGCTTAGCCAACTTATGCAGAGGAAAGGTTTATTTTGCCTCACAGTTTTGGAATTCCAGTCCCAAACTTATGGGTCCCAATGCTTAAAAGCCTGCGATGATGCAGCATATCATGCAGGGAGGGCATGGTGGAAAGAATCACTCACCTCATGGTTGGGAAGCAAAACAGAGAAAGAGGAAGAGGCTGAGCTCCACTGTCCTCTTCAAGGCATACCCCCAAAGACCTAAAGACCTCTCCTGAGGGCTCGCCTCTTCAAGGTGCCAGCCATCACACAGCACCAAACTGGACATGTGGCAGACTTTCCAGACCCTAACTATAGCTGTGACATGTGTCACGGATAGAGAAGTAAATCACAGGTGTGAGACCTAATATTGTAACGATATCGTTTGTACTGTATCAAAATCCCAATAGGCTTTTTAAAATACAGAACGGCAGATTCAATTTAAAATATACATGGGATTGCAAAGGACAGAGAAGAGTGAAAACAAACTTGAAAAAGAAGAAAAAAAACCAGAGGATTCATACCTGATTTCAAGGCTGAGCACTGGTAATTAAGACAGTATGGTATTAGTGTAAGGATAAGGACATAGATCAGTGGGACAGAATAGAGTCTGGAAATAAATCCATATGCATGCTGCTCATTGGTTTTCAACAGAGGAGCCAAAGCAATTCAATAGGGGAAGGAAATTCTTTTCAATAGCTGGTACTAGAGTTTAAGAAATTTGTGGAAAAAATGAATCCTGATCTTATTGCTTATCTCACACATAACAATTTGAGATAGATGTGAACTTTAACATAAAAGATGAAACCATCAAGCTTCTAGAAGACAACATAGAGAATATCTTCATGACTTTGGGGCAGGCAAAGAACTTTTAGAGAAGAAACAAAAAAAAAACATGAGCCACTAAGTCAGGGGTGGTACACACCTGTAATCCCAGCAACTCAGAAGGCTGAGGTAGGAGGATCACAAGTTTGAGGCCAGTCTCAGAAACTTAGTGAGACCCTAAGCAACTTAACAAAACCCCATTTCAAAATTTATATATACATATGTGTGTGTGTGTGTGTGTGTGTGTGTATCTTATTAAGAATGTGTTTCATAAGTACACACACATTTTAAAAAAAAACAAAAAGTATGGGTTGGGTTGGGGTTATGGCTCGGTGGGCTCAGTGGTAGAGCACTTGCCTCATACATGTGAAGCACTGGGTTCGATGCTCAGTACTACATAAAAAGAAATAAAATAAAGGTGTTGTGTCCATCTACAACTTTATATATATATATATATGTGTGTGTGTGTGTGTGTGTGTGTGTTTTTATGAAATCCAATAAGTAAAAAATAACCCAATTTTTAAACGGGCAAAAACTGAATTTATTTAATAAAAAAAGATGTAAAATGGCCAATAAGTGTTGAGAGCCACAGCCGAGTGGGAATGGCCCCTGGCATTTTGCCAGAAGTAATGGTTGAGAGGCGAGCCATTAAGATGATGCTGGATTGATTCAATTGTATGTAGACCCCTGCTGTCCGCCTCAGGAGCCGGGAGTTCTCACTAGGGGGCAACCGGAGTTCTCACTTGGGGATTTCCTGGGGAGTTCTAGTTGGTTGGGGAAGTTCCGGTGGAGGGAGTTCCGGTGTGTGTGTGGTGTTCCTGGGGACGGCGTGGGTGGCGTTCGGGAGAGTTCCCCGGGAGTGTGCGTGGAGTGCTGTTTGAGTTCAGGCAATAAAGTTTCCTGTTTGAACATACAAGTGCTTTGTGGCGGCTCGGTGATTTGTGCCCAGCCAGACTGCGGCAAATAAGCATATTAAAAGGCATTTGACATTGAGATATCAGGGAAATGCAAACTAAACCCATAATGTTGTGCGGTTTCAGCCCCACTAGAATGATTCAAGAGGAAAGGCGTTGGTGAGAGCAGGTGCAGGTGAAGTGTGTGAGGCTCCAGGATGCTGGTGTATTGCTGGTGGGGTGCCAAGTCCTAGGACGCTTGGGGAAAATGCCCAGGCAGTGTCTTATAACATTAAACCTTCACCCCATCATCCAACAAGTCCATTCCTGGGTATTTACCCCAAAGAAAGGAAAACATATACCCAGAAAAAGACTTTTACAATAATGTTCAAAGAGCTTTATTCATAATATCACAAAACTGGAGACAATTCAAACGTCCAAATAGTTGAATGGATACATTGTGGCACATCCATACAATAGGGCAACTTAGAGATAAGAAATGGACTTCTAATGCCTCAACAGTATAAATGAGTCTCAAAATATCAGGGACAGTCAGGTCATCCGGAAAAATAAGGGAGGAACCATATGGTTGGAATGGTCTGGAAATCTTTACCTCTGGAGACAGAGTCAGAATTCGGTTCTGGTCCTGACTCGGGAGGTTGAAGAAATTCTCTGGGGGTAACTGCTATTCTTCATCTTGACTGGGAGAACCTTCCCACAAAGGTATGTTTGTTAAACCCACTGAATCTTATATTTACAAGCCACACAACTCATTTTATGTTAACTTTTCCTCAATTTAAAAAATTAGGGGCTGGGTTTGTGGCTCGGTGGTAGAGTGCTTGTCTAGCATGCGAGAGGCACTGGGTTCAATCCTCAGCACCATATAAAAATAAATAAATAGAGGTACTGTGTCTATCTACAATTTTTAAAAAAAGGCAGTTAGTACCTGTTAAAAAAAAATAGGAAACAATGTTTTAATAGAAGTTAAAAAGATGTCTGGACCACTATGCTAAACCTAGATGGTATCTGTAACTCTCCTAAGGACTTCCTTGTAGAATTTTAAAAATTTATTTACTCTGTTTTATGTTCTACATTTATGTGACTTAAAAATCTAAAAACACTGAAACAGATCCAAAGAAACAGAAAACAAGTAAAAATCCTAAGTTTTATCCTTGGTTCTCATCTTCGCTGTTACCACACCCTGTAGACAAGTACTGTTTTCACGTTCATGTAGATTCTTCCTCTGACTCTCTATAAAAAAAAAAAACTGTGCCCTACCTTTTCTCCTGGGGTGGTGGAGTCCAAGAGTTCATGGCGCTCGTTGGCCATTTGGTATCCTTTTGGAAATCGTGTGGCCGAGAGCTGTGCGCGTGCACTGGGCTGTTGGAGAGATGATAGCTTAGGAATGTTAACACTAGAACTGGAGTTCTGCGGGAATAGGTCTTTTCCCAAACTAAGGTCGTCCTGAATTTTCAAAGCAACATTTCTGGAGGGTTCTCATCTGCTGCCAGGCCTCTGTGGGTGGTCAGGTGGGAAATGCTCTTTTTGGCAAGGGCTCTTGCTATTCCTAGCTGCTGAAGCCATCGTTTCTCCTTAAAGGCACTGTAAGAGAACAAGACATCATACGCCAGGAGGTTCAGTCTTCAGATCGATGTGCAGCTGTGGCTAGTTTATCTTACCACATGGGTACGATGTGAAACAGAAATAAGAATCTGTCTAAAACCAGCTCCTTTTGATCTGTGGAAATGATCTTTTCCAGTCAATAATAGAAATTTAGAAATCTCAACTGAAAGCAGAAAGCCCTTCATGTCAGGGGGGATTCTCCGGGTAGAGACAAGCTGCTCGTCCTTCCTAGGCATCCCTGTATCTCGCCGGTCGCTTGACCACTTCTCCAACCCCCACCCAATACACTTTAGGGTATTTTTTTTTTTACAGTGATGTTAGTTTTTTTTTTTTTTTTTGATAATCTAACTGAAATGCAATGGAACTTAATATTTTATGATATTTACTCTCTGGCTAGATACCTAATAAAAACCCTGTAAGTCTGAATATGATCACCTACTTTATAGGAGGCAAATATGACTTACAGCGGAAGACTTTTGCATTCCTAAAATGTGGGGGTTCTTCAAGGTTCTGCCTGTGGTCCTCCTCTCTTTACACCCTCACCCTAGGAAGCCTCATTTACTCCTTGCTGCAATTCCCATATGTATGACTCCTCAGTCTTGGCCTTTCTTAAAAGTTACAAATCTCCAATTAGCAAATAAAAAGTATTCATCCTGTAGAGATTTCCAATTGAACAGTCTTTTATCTCCTTCCTAAGTTTGTCTGCTTCACAGTACCCTTGCTCTACCACACTGATTCTGTCATCCTTGCCATCCCCAAAACCAGAAACCAAACTCACTTCCTCCTTCACCACTGCTACACCATCAGTGACCAAACTTCATAGGCCATGCCCCATCAGCTTCTCTCCCACAGCCCGTCTCCTCTTCTTCAGCATCGGTCTCCACAGCTCCCTGCACAGTCTGTCTCGGCCAGTCCCACCCTGCACAGTCGGCCCACACTTTTCCAGTGGCCTCCTACATCTCTCTACTGGACTCACAAACTCTGTGAATTACCTTATGAAAAAGAGCTTCTGAGACCTTCCCGCTCAACACCTCCCCATGGAGAGGAGACTGAGAAGCAAACTGTCCGCCTGGCACAAGGACGCTGCTCAGTGTGGATGTCCACCTGGAGTCTCCTCTCAGCCAACTTCTCTGCAACCCTCCAGGTGCATTTTGCCAATCCACTTTCTTTCCTGAAAATTAAATTTCTTGCCCTTTGACAAAGCAGCACCTTTGACAGTGTCACTGCCTCTACAGGGATCCTTTCCTCCACCACCAACCCTTTGGTCTGGCAAAATCCTGCAGACTTTTTAATTTTTCTTTTTTCCTGCAGATTTTTTAAGGGCTGTCACTCAGCTCATTGGGAGGGACCTTGCATAGACACCCCAGGGTTTCAAACATTTGAATAAAGTTTGTGTCTGCCTGTCTCAACGTTTTTGTTCTGCTTTCCATTTTGTTTGATGGCTGCATCTCCCTGGGCCCTCTGAAGTGGGTTAACCCATCTAGCCTGTCCACAAAACCCTGAGGCAACTCCCAGGCTCCTTAGCCTTTCTCCATAACCTACCTGACTGAAGCTGATGCACCCTCTCCCTCATTCTGACACATCTCTAGCTCCGCCTTGGTTCACAGCACATCAGATTCTCTCCCTAGCATTTGAATCTTGGCTTTTTTGCATTCGTTGAAAAATTGTTTATTGGGTAATTCCTCCATGCCTCTGTGTGCTGGAGATCCAAAAACGTGAACAAAAGATGTAAGACTTGCCTTTTTACTAAAAACAAAAGAAAACAGCTCTGCTTTTCTTTGGAGCACAGGAGCCCTCAGAGTTGGTGTCTGGGATTACTGTCCATTCTTGGTCCATTCCAACACTCAAACTTTCAGACCAATCCCCTGTCATCCCACTGTCTTTCCCATTTCCATCACCCTCCCTTCTGCCACTCCATCCCAACCCCCTGCCTTGGACTCTTCACTAAACAGAGCTTCCAAGTCCCAGGAACCTCACTGGAATCAGCTGACCAGCAATGAGGAGGGTTTAGGGACATTAGAGCTCAGAGGTGTCCCTTGATGCATGTGAAGCCTACACTGTCCTTTAGACAAAGGAATAAGACTGTGTGATCTTCTGGCCTTGGTCACTATCGTGGGCACCAGCCATAAGCACACACCAACCCAAACTCCCAGGAGCACTTGGTCGGTGCTAACTGCCGTGATACTATCTTTGGTTTAATCCTAAGAAGAATATTTTCATGAACCTGAATGGAGAATTCCCAAAGAGTACATGGTTCAGCACTTTCGCCTGAGGCCAGATAAGTTGTCTGAGGTCCTGACTGACCTTCCCAGACAATCGGGAATGCTAGCCTGACCAACTCTCTGGTCAGTACCATGAAGGACTACATTAGGTTCTTCCCCATCTTCTGGCCATGATGGTAGCTTCATGAGAGTGTGTGTAGACTTCAAAGTGTGCATGTCCAGTCCTCATGTGTGTGTCTTTTGGGCACAAGATCTGGACTGGTCATTTAGACTATCGGGCTTCCCAGCTCGACTAGAGGCTTCAGGTAGATATAGACATGGATGGGGAGGTAGAGCATGGTTAAAGGGAAAAGAAAAGCGTTGGAAAAAGAGAAAGGGAAAGAGCATTTGCTGGAGTGACCGCCAGGCACGTGTGCAGCGAGGCTGGCCACCACTCCCAAGACTCCCTTGTACTGAACCCTTTTCTTTCTTTCTTTCTTTCTTTCTTTCTTTCTTTCTTTCTTTCTTTCTTTCTTTCTTTCTTTTCTTCCTTCCTTCCTTCCTTCCTTCCTTCCTTCCTTCCTCCCTTCCCTCCCTCCTTCCCTCCCTCCCTTCTTTCTTTCTTTCTTTCTTTCTTTTGTGGGAGGGAGGGGTACCAGGGATTGAACCCATGATGCTTAACTATTGAGCCCCATCCCCGGCCTTTTTTATTTTTTATTTTGAGACAGAGTTAAACAAAAGTTTCTTAGGGCCTTGCTAAGTTGCAGAGGCTGCCATCTTCCTGCCTCAACCTCCTGAGCTGCTGGGATTACAGGCATGTGCCACTGTGCCCAGCATGAAGCCCTTTCTTAGTAGGTGTTTTCGGAGAAATCTCCTTCTTGATCTTGCATTGCCTCCCTGTGATAACTCCAATACTCACGAGGTAAATCTATCAAACCTCAGCATACTGGTGTAACCTCTTTGGAAAGCTCTTTGGAAGTGTTTGCTAAAGCTAGACATCAACTTACCCTATGACCCAGCAATTCCATTCCAGAGAAACAAAAACATGTCTTCCAAAGCTCATATACAAGGTAAAATACTATACATTTATTCAAAATAGCCTCTAAATTAGAAGTAAGCCAAATGCCCATCAATAAGAAAATGAATAAATAAATAAGTTAGGATGTGGACTACCACATAGAAATGGAATATTACATTAAAATAAGAAAAAAAAATCATACACACAAAACACTAATGAATTTCACAGGCAATATTGGTATGCAAAAAAGACCTAAAAATCATACCGTATGATGAACTTCATATGAAGTTCAAGAACAGACTAAACTAATTGTCAATCATAGAGATCAAAATAATGGCTCTATCTTGGAGGAATTATTATATTTTCCAAAATTTTTTACACAAGAGGAAACAAAATATACCTTGAAAGAGCTTATGCTCATTGGATGTAATTAGCCTGATTGCTTTCCACTAAACTACAGTGTCTCCATGAAGAAGTATTCATACTAATGTGTGTAAAGGAAGAAAGAGAATATTCGCTTAATTGGATTCAATTAAACAGCATATATGTACATTTATAAACATGGAGAAATCAACTTTTATTCAAATGTCTTTAAATATCTGAGAGGGATTATTGATGGGAAAGCGGCATGAAGGAAATTTTCAGAATGCTGGAAATAACTTACATCTCGTCTGGGGAGGGAGTTACATAGACACGTGCAAATGTAAAACTTCAACAAGCCATTGGGAGTGATGGCAGAAGCCTGTAATCCCAGTGGCTGGGGAGGCTGAGACAAGAGGATTGTGAGTTCAAAGCCAGCCTCAGCAAAGGCAAAGCGCTAAGCAACTCAGTGAGACCCTGTCTCTAATAAAGTACAAAATAGGGCTGGGGATGTGGCTCAATGTTGAGCGCCCCTGAGTTCAATCCCCAGTATGAAATAAAAATTAAAAATAAATAAGAATTCAACAAGCCATACCTGGGAGATCAGTGTTCCTTGTGCACTTTATGGTCTATTTTATTACTCAACATCCTCCTCCCTCAGGAAACACTCTGCACAGTACAATGAGATGGAGATGAGATGTCAATAAAAGTTTGAAACTACTCTCCCCAGATTTATTGAAGAAGACAAAAAAGAGCAGACTCTCTCAGCTGAACCTATACACACATTGCCTCAAAGGCACACACTTCTGGGGCCGAGGAGGTAGCTCTATGGTGGAGTGCTTGCCTTGCATGCACAAGGCCCTGGTTGTGATCCTCAGCACCATAAAAACGAAGAAAAAACATACTTGTGCATGTTTCTGTTTTGTCTACCCCTGCACCAGGCCATATAAACACTTACTGAATGCTTGCAAAATAAACGCATTTTCAACATGCATCTGTTGCAATAAATCCGTTTTTCCTTTCTTATGTTTACATCTTGATTTTAAGACAGGCTATATGATTTTTTTGTATTAATCAATTTCCTTGTAGTTTTCTAGGATTTTAGATGGCAGAGATATCTCACAAACTGAAGCTTTGATTAAGTTTTCTTTTACTGTCAACCTCAACAGGTTGGATCTTGTGCATTTTCAAGCCCAAGTAACTCTCACCACTAGGTGGCAACACCTAGCTGAAGGAAGGCCAGCGGACCCACAAGACCAACTCTGAAAGGCAATGCAGAGGCGCGCTGGCCTTTCTCTTCCATTTCCTTCTCATTGCATTGATTAAGGGGGAAAGCTCCTCATAAACCTATACTTCTCTAATATCTGCATCCAATAATACCTCATAAGTAATGGGTAGGAGCAAAGATCTAATCTAAGACTTCTGTTTTCAGTGAAATCTAATGATCAAAATTTTCCCCTCCTCCCTTCCTCCTCCCCTCCCTCCCTCCCTTCCTTCCTTCCTTCCTTCCTTCCTTCCTTCCTTCCTTCCTTCCTTCCTTCCTTCCTTCCCTGAGGATTAAACCAGGCCTTTGCATGCTAGGTAAGCACTTCACCATGGAACTATATCCCCTGCCCTCAACTAAACTTTTCGTGGTTCAATTTGTTTTTAAATAGTTCCTTTCTTCCACTTTCATTACCATCTAGTCTTTCATGACACCTTTGATGTCTCCATCTCATATTTAAAGTTTACTTATTTTCCTCAACAGTAATTAACAATTTCTTATCAGCTTCAAAAAAGAAATAAGCATCAGCAACTGATCTAAGTGATACTATGATCTTTTTCTTTGGGTTCTAGAGATTAAACCCAGCACTGCTCTTCCACTGAACTACATTCCTGGCCCTTTGTAATTTCTTACTTTGAGACAGGGTTTCCCTAAGTTGCCAAGCCCCCTGCCTCTGCCTCCCAAGTTGCTGGGATGACAGGCACGTGCCCCTGTGCCCTGAGACACTATGCTTTTTGTGTGTCTCTTTGACTCTTGAAGGGTTGAGGAGTAAAGCATTTACAGATTGTGGGGCAGCAAGATGGGCCACCCCTAGACAGCCAAGATGGGGTCTCAGAAGAGAAGGAAAGGAGATGTCAGGTCTAGGGCACACCCATCATTTGCCCCTGACAGCCTCAACCACAAAGCTCCTCCTTAGTTATCCCTACCCCTACTCCCAGCAATGGCCAACCACAAAAGCTCCTTTAAAGCACTTTCTGTTGTGCCTAAAACCCCTCATCCCCACCTTATGTCAATAAAAGTTTGAAACTACTCTCCCCAGATTTATTGAAGAAGACAAAAAAGAGTGTCAATTGGCCCCTTTCCAAATCCTATATCTCACCCATCACCTATAGGGCTACATCAAGCCCATAAAACCCCCTAGACAACAGGTACCCATTGGCAGCCCTGTCTTGGGATCCCTCTCTCTCCGAAGCTCTGCTTTCTTTCTATTGCTCTGATAAAGCCTGTTACTGTGCTCTCACTCTTGTGTCTGTGGATTTCATTCTTCAATTTTGCAAGACAAAGAACCCACTCGTGCACCGAGATGCATTTACACATTGGACTAGGCGGTGACTTCAGTTCACTGTGTCCTAGACACAGGCTAAGATGAGGACCTGGGGCTGGGTATGGCTGCATTGAAGCGACTTATGTTAGTACTGCGTGTGGCACAGGAGGCTTTACCAATGTCCCCTGCACTAGACCTGCCTTATCAAAGGCCTGCCCTTGTGTGTTCACGGAAGAAACGTTACCTGGCCACAGCCAAGCAGTAGATGGCGTTCTCCCTGGGAGTCCTCCCACTGTGCTGCTGGAAAGATGCGAAGCAGGACTTCAGTAAAACGTCCTCACTGCGCTCTGTGGAGTAACAGGGGAGCGAGTACCCCGCTCTTGAAAAGGGGGGGAGGGGCACTTGGGGGAGGTAGGCATTTTTTATGCGCCCTTCTTTCCTCCGAGCTGTGGAGGTAATTTTTATCTGACTTTGCTGTTGATGTCTCTGTAACTCAGAGAATGCATCCGCATCTACCAGTGGAGGCAACACTATGGGCCCATCTCCCGCTTCCCTTTGTGGAACTGCCACAGAGTCCCCAGGCTTCCTGCTTGTAGTGTGTCCTCTGAGAGGCGGTAGCTTGCTGGAGCTGCCTTGTGAGTCCTGGTTCCCAGCCTTATGCCAGCTCTTGGAGGTCATTTTGGGTTGGGTGAAACCATCCACCATCACAATATCTCCAACTTTCGCCCCACGGACCCCGGCTCTGCACAGCTGGCTCCTGCGAAGGCTGTGACTCTGAGCTCTGAGGATCCATTGTTTTATCTTAATATAAATCCTCATTGGGACAGAAATCTTCAGAAATGAGACCGTGGACCACATTTTATTCAGCAGATACAACACGCAGTCTTTATGCCTGTGTTTGGACGCGATGGCCAGGGGGGTTTGTCCTGCTGGGTCTTTGCATTCCAGGCACAGGACACTGCAGTGGACAAAGGTCTTCAGAACCAGCAGTTGGCCTGCTTCTGCAGCTGCATGAATGGGGCACTTGGAGATATCTGCGTGGAGGGCTTCGTGGCACCATGCTCGATAGGGGTGGGCACCCACTGCCTCATGGGGCCGCGCACCCTGCTTCAGGGCCCACTCAGTGAGCTCAGCATAGCCATAGAAGGCAGCGATGTACAGGGCAACCCTTCTCTGATACCTGGAGGAGGGAAGCAAGTGGGGGAAGGGTCAGTAAAGCAGGGTCACCCAGCACTCACAAGACATTCTGCTGAAGTGCTCACTTCTTCCTAACGTTGACCTTGACGCTGTTTTAAGAAAGACTTATAGTAGCACCTGGTTGGATTCACAGGCCTGCTGATACCCCCTCTTCTCCCACCAGCAGGTAAATGATTCTAACTGGTTCCCTTGGAGTGGATGTCAATGTAAAAATCAAATGCTTAGGACAACTGTGAAGCTATATAGTAAAAAGGAAGTTACTGGAAGCAATTCAGCGCATTTTAGACATCTGAGAGCTCAGTGTGTTTGTCTTGCTGTTTGGACAGTAATGTGTTCTGTCTTTTCCATTCTCTGCTACTCTCCTGAGCCACAGCCCTGCCTCCTATCACCCCCACCCTGCCTGGACTCCTGGTTGCTGTCCTCTGTCACCTCCATTGTACTGTGCCACCCTGGTCCTTCCAACATTCCCAAGGCATGAGCTGGGGATTGGTGACGGCAGTTCAGAGGCATGAGTGAAGGAGGCAAACCTCGAGTGCGCCCAACCTCGTCCAGGACACACATGTGCAGGGGGACTGAACCCCTTGCAGAGATGGAGGCAGGTGGCCTGGTGTTACCCCTTCTCTACTTGCACACCAGCCTCTGCCTTTTGCTGCGCATGCAGCTTCCCATGTGTTTTCCTGGATGGGGAACATGCTCTGCCCAGAGCACAGGGGTCAGTTAGGTTATAACTAAATGGAGTTAAGGTGCTGGCATTTATGCACACATCAGCTTCACACTTGAACTTTGAAAGTCATCATGGCAAGGCAGCCTCTCTGAAGTTGACCCATCTTGGATGAGGAGCCTGCTCCTGAATGAGCTGTGAAAGACCCCTGGGACCTCTGGGCGGCTGGGCAATCACCTTGCCCTGGTGACACCAGGTCCCTGGGCCATATCTTTCCTTCAGACATCTACAGTTTGATTGATGCGTCCAAATAAGCCCTTCAAGCTCACTGTGTCAGTGACTGAATTCCTCATCTTCTTTCCCAAGTTTGCTCTTCTTCTGAGGTTCCCCTCCTGGCCCAGCAGCTCTTCGTCTACCCCATCATTGAAGCCAGGGGCGGGCGCTTCAGATTTACTTTGCCTTTCCTCTCCTTTCTTCCCATACCTAGTCTGTTATTCACAGGGGCTGACTCTGCCTCCCACACCTACCCTCAGTCCGTCCTTAGCTCCCCCTGTCCTACCACAGGCCTGGCTCCACAGCCACCTTCTCCTGACCATCTACTTCTGTTCCACAGACAGCAGGCGGGGCTGTGATCTTAAATGCCAAGCCCATCCTGCCCCTTCCCTCCCTTCAGAGCCTTCCCACCCGCGAGAGACCAAGTCCAAACCCTTTCCATTCCTCCACAGGACTGCGTGGACTGGTCTCTCACCCTTCCAGCCACCAACTCCCTCTCAATCTGCAGTCCACCACCAGGAAAGGCATTCAGTTCCATGAACCTGCCCTCTTGCTGCTCGGCTTGGACACCTATTTTGGATCCTTGTCTTCTCTCCTACCTGCCATCCCCCTGGGTGCTGGTCCTTCAGGTCTCAAACAGGACCTCCCTTCTCAGGCAGCCTCGCTGATCCCTAGTGGAGCAAGTGGTCCACCTGCATGCTCTTCGGCCAGGCTGCACTGAGCCTTGTTTACAGCCCACAGCACACGGGCGGTGACAGCCGTGAAGCCTGACCCTCGAGGCTTCTGACCAGGCCTGCAGCACCCTTTGAGTCCTTATGACCACAGAGTCACTTCATCTCTAAAGCCATTCTCTGGGTAGATACTATTATTGTTGCCACTTCCCAGGAGGCTGAGGTATGTGATGTTTAGGTTGCTCCCCGTTATTTATGGAGCTGACCGTAAAGGAACAGGGTTGGCTCCCAGGCACGTGGGCACTGGAGTTGGACTCCCAAGCATTTTTTTCATTTTGCTTCTCCAGCAACTGGTTGTTTATTTTCTGTTTCCCCTACTAGATGTTAAGCTTGCTGAAGACAGTGAGGCCTTGTTTATTGCTATATTCCTAGGCTCTTAGTACATAGCAAGTGCTCAACAAATACCTGTTGATTGGGTGGAGGCGTTAAAGGAGCTTTTCATCTTGATCAGGTACATTCTCAGCTCTTGGACTTTGAATATTAAGTCCAGGGGAGGTGATTGAGCACATGAAGACTAGAGGTGAATTGTCAGGATCCAAGATCCTGCTGTGCCCTTCCTTGACAGCAGCGTGACATTGGGGACATTTCATAACCTCAGTTTCCTTTCTGTTGTACAAGATAACAAATACTTACCTCATATATTGTCCTAAGGACAAAATCATGCAATAGTGCTCACGTCAAAGAGTGTACTTAGTAAATATGCTATGTTAAAGGCATCAAGGCGAAACAAATATTTCTTTGGATTCAGAACATGAAACAAGAGACTCATCACCATCCTAAATTAGAAATGGATGTAAAATACTTCAATATTTCACGAGACCGTGAAAGCTGCTCTTCCCATCTGTCCCCTCACCAAGCCCTTGGAGCTCCTGATAGTGCCTGCGCTTTTATAAGCAGGGCTGAACTCCCACGAGGGGGCGCTGTTCTAAACGCGGAGGAACGCGGACCTCAGGGTTACTGGGGCTTGTGCAGTTGGCCAGCTGCTTGCTGGCTGCAGTGGTACCTGGGAGGGTTCCGAGCCTCCCTCTTTACCGCCCAGGTACAGTTTGTGTGTGGCCAAATGCTGGCTGCTTGTATGAAATGCACTTTAAAAAACTACAAGTGAACTTAGAAAGGGGCGGATCACGTTTTCAGCCAATTGATTGGAAAGTGTTTTTGTAGGATAACTAAAGTGAATGGCAAGATACTTATCGTCTCAGGTTTTAAAGTGACGTTTAGAAGTCCGATATCCAAATCAAACTGAAGTCACCTGTTTCATTAGTATTTCCAATCACTGCAACCCATCACCAAGGGCTGCCAGCTAATGCCTCACGTGGTGTAATATTGTGTGCAGTGGAACCCGCCTGGAGCAGCACCCCAGGTGTAGAGGAAACAGCAGCTCACGGTCTGACGGGAGTTTAGTGAAAAGTTACTTAAATTAATTCCGTATGTGCCTCCTCTCTCGTACTTGAGCACTGGTCCTTCTCTGGATAAATAGCGTTGGACTTTTAGTTTCTGCCCAAGGAGGCAGCCCATGAGAAACTCCTTCCATCCATCCCAGACGTCCAAACGTAATGTTGTGCCTGTGGACACAGAGAGGCGGGTCACAGCTCGCGTTTGTCCTTGCGGTTCGGCATTGCTTAAAACTTCTAATGATAGCTCTCCTCCAACAGAGGCAGGAGCTGGATACACACTGGAAAGTAACCTTGGGATAAAGAGCCAGGGTGGTATTTTTAGCTTAGGCTTTGGGTTTTGGAAGAGCCACTCAGCTTGAGTACACTCCTGTTTTCTCATCTCTGGAGCCAGGGCATATAATGCTGTAGTTTCCTGCAGCCCTCTTAAAGCAGTCTTGTGGACGTTGATCCAGGGCTGAGATATACGTTACAGTGTAAACTGAAGCTGGTGGTTTTGGAAAAGGAAACTAAGCAAACTGGCTTTGTTGGACCCTTAGGTAAGAGCCTCATTAACTATACCGTCTCCTCACCTGTCCAGATAGGTTAAGGGGCTCTTCCTCTGGCTCCCATATATGCTTGGAAACTCTCTATCATTGAACATATGTTGCAGAAACTTTAGAATAGCCAGTTGACAAAGGCCAGTGGAGAACTGTGAGCCCAAGCACCAGGTCTCATCCAGTCTTGGGGGCCTGTTTTAATTGTGCCCTGGGGTTGCAAGAAGTCCCTCATGTGCATGAACAACCAAGATTTGCTCACAGTGGGCTGCTCCCTCTTCTCCCCAGGGACCCAGGACTCTCTCCCTTATACTCTCCATGTCTCTGTGTGTCTTCTCCCCTCTCTGCTGACAGGCTGCACCTGCTCACTCCTGCTTCTGTTCTAACATGACTTTGGCAAGCACGTGGCCTTGATCTGCCACAATCCAGCCCTGCTGTATGGCACCTTTCATCTTTTGCTTCCACTGATAAATGGCTTTCACTTATCAATTGCCAGACACACTTACTTGCCTACTCCAGGCCCCCACCACTGCCCTCTCTAGGTGTGTGCAGCTGGGTTTTTCTCAGCCCATCCATCCGTCCCTAGGTTCAGGGTCTCTACCGTCCCTAGCTCAATCCTCCTTAATATCAGTAGGGCACCTCTGTCAAGACCTGTATTTTATTCTACTTTAATTTCCTGTCTGTTAGAATTATCATTATTATATCATATGATATAATAATATATAATATATACTATTATTATATCAAATCAGTTCCTTGCAATAAAGAGCCCTAATTTTTCAAAGATCAAAGATAACAATCAAAGGGTTTTCTTTTATTGCTCAACTTTTGAATATCCAGAGAATTTCTAAACAAGTTTAGTAAGCACCATTTACTGGCTAATCTTTTCATCCCAGTTGGTTTTTAATGCTCTTTTTTTCACATATTAAATTTCTTCATAAGCTTAAGAATTCTGTTGGAAAATAGAAATTTACTTGAAAAATGTTATGCTCCTCCAGATGACACTACCCATACCTGTCACAGAAATGTGTAAAGGTGATGAGACTTAAGATTGGGGCCCCTTTCTGCATTAGCCTTCTAATTCTCTATTCTTATTTTTTTGAGGGACCCACAGAGGTTATGGAGCTTTCCAAACCTGCATCTGCTTGGTGTCTTCTTGCACACCTGTCCACACTGCCCAGGGCCACCCTGGAAAGCAGATGGGAACAGCAGGGCCTATGCTAGGCAGTTGTCTCCAAGGCTCCCTGTTGGTCCCTGTCTCCCAAGTTCCTGGGTTCCTTACTTGTGCTCCAAGGGTCGATATCTGCCTGATTTGGGCTTTTTCTCCCAGAATATGCAAATCATTTCTTTGATTTGGACTTCCCGGGACAGGGGAAACAAAGTAAAACATTGATCAGACCTTAAAGGGCATCAATAAAGGTGTTCCGGTTTGGCAGACCAGATTATTGGGAAGAACCCAGTTGGATGGAGTATGAACACTGTTTATTGGCAGTATGGTCTTGATCAGGTCATGTACCTCTCTGAGCCTCAGTTTTCTTATCAATAAAGGGTTTTAAGGGGCACATAAGGTCTCCCTGGACCTAGGACTTGCCGAGGTACCCTGAACCAGCTCAGATCTCAGCTCCAGGAAGAGTTTCTCATGTGCAACATGCTCAGGCTGTCCATGAACCCATACCATGAGCCATTTACAGTAAAAAAGAACTGACTGGCATCATTCCTAAAGAAATGGCTTCCATTCATTTATTCATCCTCCACTTACTCGTTTGTTTAGGTAGGTATACCTTGTTCCAGAAAGGATTCACGCCAGTTTTGAGCATGTATATTATGTGTGTGTATGTGTGTTTGTGTGTGTGTGTGTGTGTGTGTATAGCGAGTAACAAGCAGGTAAGCAAGAGGTAAACAAAAGCCTGGAAGAGACCTAGGAGTTGGGAGCAAGGCCAAAGGGAATACTTGTACCATACTGTTAATGCAAAAAAAGGTGTGTGTGTGTGTGTGTGTGTGTGTGTGTGTTGGACCTGTGTTGTGCCACTAAATTTCAAATCACAAATATTTGGATATGCTTAGCTTGATAAATTTTTTTAATATTCATTTTTTTAGTTGTAGTTTGACACAATACCTTTATTTTATTTATTTATTTTTATGTGGTACTGAGGATTAAACCCAGGGCCTCCCATGTGCTAGGCAAGCACTCTACCACTGAGCTACAACCCCAGCCCCTTAGCTTGATAAATTCTTGGTAAGTTAGTTATTAAATGTTCTATCACCAAAAAAGCCCTTTATCCCCTTATTTATTATCTTCTTCAATCCAAAATCCTTTTGTCACCACCTACTTTATTAAAATGCGCTGAGCCCACCAATGACCTTTGAACTGAACCAGAAGCCTTTTCTTAGAGTTGCCTGGCCTTCACCAGCCTCCTGACAGCCTGGCCTTCACCAGCCTCCTGCCAGTAGCCTCTAGCCCACCCCCTGTTCCAGTACAGAGTCCTGGTTCTCCAGACTCAGACAGCTTTTCACGGCTCATTTCCCATTCCTCTGAGGTCTGCTTCCTTGCTAGGTCCCTCTCTGTACTTGATCTCTCCTAGGGCTTGACTCCCACCTTGTGGGCAGGACACCTACCCCAACATCTGCTACCACTCAGGCCTGGCTCCCTGGTTGTCACGGAGGAGAATGGGAAGACTCAGGCGTACTTGCAGCCTCTGCGAATTTCCTCCTACCAAAACTTGGGACCCAGCTCAGCTCCCTTCCCTAGTTTGCCCACCCCCGTCCTTAGCGTCAGAGCCTTGGTCCTTCCCTTTTCTTAAATATGGGTCCGGCATGACTCTGTTTCTTCTTGTTACTCTGGTTGTCTCGCCCATTGCTGGTGGAATCACTTAATACCGGGACCATTAAAACTGCCGGTCAGTGCACCACCCTGCTGCAGTTTCTCCTCATTCCCTCTGTAGTCCACGCCACTCATTACCAGAGGACGCTTCAGCCCCCACGGGGTGGCTGAGGACTGAGTGTCCCGCCATTCCACCGCGAGGCTGGGAGTGCAGCCCGAGCTTCGCGTATTCCTGCGCGAGCCAGGGTGTCCAGCGACTGCTTGGCCATTTACATCTTTGATTTTCAACAACGACTTGACTGCTTCTTCAAAACCTGGATTTTTCCACTGCTTTTGGAAAAAGGGTCAAGGGTCAACTCCTGAGAGCCGAGGGGATGACTCATTGACTGGACTGGGGAGAATCTGGAACAGAAGCTAAGGGTCCTTCGCCCTCTGGTTAAAGCCAGGTGTGCTGGCTGTTCGAGGAGCATGGGTTATGCTTTAAGCAGAGGTGCAGGGCGTGCCCCTTGCCCCTGGCCTGTCCTCCAGGGCCCCCTGTAGCCGCGATGGCTAAAGCAGCCCATCAGAGGGTGCTGACCCTGAGCCTGGTCTCTGAAACCCTCCTCCTCAAGCTCTTTCCTCAGAGGCTCGTTTTAAGGGTTGGTGTGTTGTCCTCCGAACACTTCCAGAAAAGTTACTTTAAAAAAAAAAAACTTGTGAAGTCCTTTCTGAATTCTCTAAAATGCCACAGCATAATATGAGCCATATAGGACCAAAGAACAATCTTCCAGACTTTATGCTACTTTTGTTTTGTCTTTTGATGTTTCATTAAATAACCAGATTACAGTTGCTTGAGGACAAGTGTCACAGTGCGTCCTGCCTCATGTATCCCTCAGCATATCAGAGGGAGGGTTCAGTCTCCAGCCAGCGTGCACAGCCGGCATGTGCTCTATAGAGGAGCACTCTGGGGACAGACCCTACAACTTCATTTGCTCTGACCAAAAATGGGGACAATAATTGACAGCAAAGTTCTGAGAGCCTCACTTTGAAACTGCATGAAGGAATAATGCTAAGACAATACAACGGTCAGGAGAAGCACCAATAAGTACAAATTTAGCAGTTTTTAAAAGCCAAACCCCTTAACTTGAACTCCCCTAGAAAGCTCTGTGTATAGTAGGGAGAAACAGTCTTACAGCTTCGCCCTTCCTGCAGCTGTGCCCCTTTCAGCAAGGACTCACTCACCTCAAGTGATGACCTAAGTTCACATCATTTTCTAGTAGGATTAAAGCAAATCTGAAGGCTTGTCAGATCTGAGGTTTTCTCATTGACGTCTGGTGTACCATGCGTGACCTGGATTACAGTATTGAAAGAGCAGTTGGAAGCTGTCTATAAGGGGGAAATGCTGGTCTGCTAAAGAAAGGCAGCTTTCCACCCTGAATCCTGGCATTCCCATGTTACAAAGCTGGTTTTTATATAACTGGTAACATTGTAGAATGAGACTGCACACAGAGATATTCAGAACAGTGTACAGTATATGCTGCTACTTGCATTAAAAAGGGGGAAAGAATATGTACTTGATTTACTTTTGTATATGCTTGAAATATACTTTCAAAGAGAAACAGATAAAGTGATTTGAGTTTTGCTCTTCTAACCCGAGAATATCAACAAATCCTGCTTCAAGAACAAGAGTTGGGGCTGGGGCTGTAGCTCAGTGGCAGAGCATTTGCCTGGCACATGTGAGGTACTGGGTTCGATCTTCAGCACCACATAAAAATAAACAAACAAAATAAAGACATTGTGTCCATATATAACTAAAAAATTTTTTAAAAAAGAAAAAAGAACAAGAGTTGGCAGGACTTTGAGACCTTCCTTATTTCTTAGTCTACAGACAAGGGCACAAAGTGTTGATAACTTATATCCATGCTATTCTGGCAGAGGATTCTGATTAGAAGCAACTCCTCCATTTGCTGTGACTCAATTTAGAAATGCTTTTGATTCTCAGTCTTCATGGCCATAATGGTTGCCTGCAGGGGCTGGGAGACGCAGAGATGCCACAACCTTCTATACTGCTGACATTTTAAAACTATGTAACTATCAACTATTTTAAAATCAATAAGCAAATGAAATCAATATACTGCATTTTAAAATCCAGATTTCCATTTTCTTTTGAAAAAGTCCAAAATCTGGCTGGGATCAAAGCACCCCTTGCTGAGTGGCAGCATACCCACCGCCGAGGCCATACCAAGATGGGTCTGGTAGTCCCGGAGGGTGTTGCGATCATACATCTCCAGGCCAGCGGGGGTCCGCAGACAGTAGACGCTCACAGGGAGGCCACATCTCAGAGTCACCTCGGTCCTTAGGTCAGACACTGTTTTACCAAGAAGGGAAACGCTCTCCATTATTGGCATCGTCTCTTGGGTCACAGCGTTGAACACGTACAGCGTGGGCTTGTCTTCTTCCTGAAGGGAGAGGAAAGGAGGGAATGTACTGTTTGGAGGTTGGCACAGGGGACCAACCCGTCAGAGGGTTCTGAGGGCCTCAGGCTCCCTCCATGTGGGTGTGCTGGGGGTGGGGGACAGGATCAGCTTTGCACTCTGACCTCTGGTCTTGGTCTTGCCCTCTGTGTCCACATTAGCGAGTCCCCCTGCTTTGAGCAAGGTGGAGGAGACGCCGCGGGCTCTGAGATCTTTCGTCCTTTATCTACAGCCCCAGATCCACGAAAGGAAGGCTGACAACCTACGTTCTTGCTGTGGTTACCCAGGTGTTAGTTTGGAAACACCCTCCACAGTGCTGCACTTTAATTTAGAAAGACCGTGGATTCTAAGCCTCAGGTCAATCTTAAAAAGTCCTTTCTGAGAGGCTAACTCTGAGGAGCAGGCAGGGAAGTTTTTCTTACTGCTACATGCTCTCCATCATCTGTCTATGCAGCTTGACTCGTTAAAAATACAATAACCATGTATATTTAATTTTATGTTTAAAAAGGGAAATACTGAATACAGGGTTGTTTTTTTTTTAAGTGTCCTTTGTTCCTTTTCTTTTACAATCCAAATAGGAAACCAAGTGGCACTGAGACATCTGAAGCAGAGTTGATATGGGAAGCTGGTGGAGTCTCAGTCCTCTGTTGGCCACAGTCAGTCAGGACAAACTAAAACTAGGAACACAGCAATTGGGGGAGGGGGAGGATCTCCACATTTCCACTCTGTAACAGAAAGTGAAACTGACCTCACTTCCTCTTTGCGGACTGGGGAGGACAGTGACTCTTCCGTGGCCTGCGGTGGGCTGGGTGTGCCACTGAGGGCTGGGTCAGGGCTCTCCTGAAGCTGGGCGCCCGGCTCCTCCTGGGCACTCCAGCCAGCCCTGGCATCTTGCCCTTCTGCTTCTTCACCCTCTTCCTTCCATCAAAACCCCCCTTCAGTCCCTAATGAAATTAATATATAAGAAAGAGGCCCTTCTGGACACCACTTTCTTATATACTAATTTAATTCCCTCCCTCCGGGTACAAGTGCCATCATATGAATCTACACGCGGAGCTCTGAGAAAGTCCTGAGGAGTGGCTTGCTGTCAGGTCTGCAGTGTCTGGATCTAGGGCACATCTCAGTGACTCCAGCCCAGGGGCAGGCTCCACCCTCTTCTCCTCACCTGAGGCCACCCCGCAAGCTGAGCTGTGTGGACACTCTGCAGGATGGTTTCACAGAAAACTGCTCAGTACCCATAGAGAGAACCACATTCGCCCTCCCCTTTCACCAGGCCCATGCTTTCCTTCGGCTGTGCAAGGCTGGATCTGCCGAAGCCAGTCCATGAATGTGTGTGTTGGGCAGAAATCCCTGCAAAGCTGAACAGAAAGGTGCTAAGTGCAAAAGAGGGGAGACGATATGTCATCTCCACCCTTTTCTTCTCTTCTTGTGGTCCTGGGGATTGAGCCCAAGGCCTGGCACAGGCTGGGTAGGTGCTCTACCATTGAGGCACAACCCAAGCCCTTCCTTTATTTTTTTAGAGATTCCTCTGATTTATCTTTATTCCTCTGGCTGGGTACTAATTTATATTTAGAATGAAAAGCAAATGAATAGAATAACGTGCAAACAAAATACAGGAGGCCTGAGTTACTCTCCCCAGTTAACTTGCTACTACATGAGGCCACATAAACGAGGCAAAGAGAAGCTTCACAGCACATGAATGATACCACGTTCACATGGTAGATAAGCCCTTCTATTCCTCCCATGTTCCCCTCCCTGCCCCACTGTGAATCAGCCTCCTAATATCAGAGAAAACATTCAGCATTTGTTTTTTGGGGGATGGGCAAACTTCACTTAGCATTATCTTCTCCAAAGCCATCCTCTAGATAGGGCAGAGGGGTGGGAGGGAAAGGGAGGGGGCATGGGGTTAGAAATGATGGTGGAATGTTATGGTCATCATTATCCAAAGTACATGTATGAAGACACAAATTGGTGTGAATATACTTTGCATACAACCAGAGATACGAAAAAGTGTGCTGTATATGTGTAATATGAATTGTAATGCATTCCGCTGTCATATAAAAATCAAAATAAATAAATAAATAGAAGCACTCACAGGCCGGGTGCAGTGGTGCATGCATGCCTGTAATCCCAGAGGCTTGGGAGGCTGAGGCAGGAGGATTGCAATTTCAAGGACAGCCTTAGCAACTTGGCCAGGCTGTAGGAAATTTAGTAAGACCCTGTCTCTAAATAAAATACAAAATAATAATAATAACAATAATGGAGGGGCTGGGGATGTGACTCAGTGGTTAGGTGTCCTTGAGTTCAATTTCTGGTAACCCTTCCCATCTCCCACCCCCCCAAAAAAAAGAAGCACTCACAATTCCAGGACTATGAATATTTGTTTTGAGTTCCACTCTCCTCTGGTACCATCACCTGGAATTTTTGTAAACTTCCTGGTCTTGGTAACTATTTACTAAGGTTTTACAATTCCTAATTTGAACCTGTGAAAAACAGAGATCTTTTCCAACTCATTTGTAAATTACAAATTCTGTCTTTTGCTTGCCATTTTTTTTTGTACTGGGGATTAAACCTGAACCCAGGGGCACTCTGCTGAGCTATATGCCCATCCCTATTGTTTTTTATTTTGAGACAGGGTCTTTCTGAGTTGTTTGGGACCTTGCTGAATTACCGAGGCTGGCTTCAATCTTGCTATCCTCCTGCCTCAGCCTGTTGAGTCACTGTGGATTACAGGTGTGTACCATCATGCCCAGCCCTCTGCCTTTCATTCACATCCAGATATCTTCCTTCTCTCATGGGATATGCATTGTGAATATTTGGTGAAAGCCTTTTGACTATAAATGCCATGTTTTCCAGAGTGAAATAGAACAAAGCATTTTTTTTTTTTTACAAATAAAACTATTTCAATTCTACTGACAAAAAAAAAAAAAGATAAGCCTTTCTAACCTGTCTCTAGCCTGTAGGTACCAGCATTGACAGAGGTGAAAACCAAAAGTGCAAGGAATCAAATGCTGTCGGGTCCCAAGACCCCAATTAACACCTACAGAGAGTCAGTTTTTAGGGGGAGGAGCATATAGGGACCTTTGACTACACAAGTAAATAATAAATGTCAAATGACATCCCAGACCTATTTCATTCATAATGCATCTATTTAAATGACATTTGCATTATTTAAACTCTACCTGTAATCTTCTATTTTAAAAACTTTGCTTTTTTATTTGTAGTTTTTTTTAAATCAGTGCATTATGGCTATACCTGAAGGTGAGATTCACTGTGGTATATTCATATACGTACATGGGAAGTTTCAATCAGATTCGTGCCCCCATCTCCCACCATTGCCTTCTTCTACTCTCCAATGATCTCCTATTTTCTTTCTTTCTTTTTTGGTACTGAGGATTGAACCCACTTAATCACTTTACTAACCACTGAACCACAAACCCAGCCCTTTTTTATTTTTTTGAGATAGGATCTTGCTAAGTTGCTTAGGACCTCACTAAGTTGCTAAGACTGGCCTCAAATGCGCAATTCTCCTGCCTCATCCTCCCAAATGCTGGAACTACATGTGTGCATCACCATGCCTGGCTTTTTTCTATTTTCCTGGGATCCCCTGCCCCACCATGCACACACTTTTTCTTTTTTCTTTCTTCCTTATTTTGTTCTACCTTCTGCATATGAATTTCTAGTTCTGTCTTATTTCACTTAGCATGATGTTCTCCAGTTCCATCCATTTTCCAGCGAACACCATAATTTCATTCTTCTTTACAACTCTGCTTTTGTGGGAAAACTCAGTTTGAATTTGAATGAGGCCCACTAGTTGGATACTTCTGCATATTGGTTGTATGGACAGGGAGCCAGGGATGCTGATTATAGCATCTTACCCCATAGGAGGTGGCATCTCTCTACCTCGCTGAGTACACTGAGTCAGGGTGCTGGTCAGAACTTAGTGCATAAACAATGCCATATCACGAGGTGCATACACAAAATCAGGTCTTTCCCTCCACACACCAACCAAGACACCAAGGAGAGGCATACATGATGTCTTTCCAATAAAAACAAATACCTGAAATAGGATGGACATTCTTCCCCACTTCAAAGAACAAAGCAAACTCACTGCAAATACAGACATGTACATAAACAATAAAATAGGAAGGGTTTTAAAAACACTGGCTGAAAGAAAACAGAAGTTGAGTCTAGTTTTGAACACTGCTGTAATTTTGTGTCAAGTTCTCCTTTTTTATGTTTGCTATTTTGGAGTGGCAGCACCAAGACAGCGGAAACTTGCCCCAACTGTTCTGGAGTAAACCAAAACGTGAAATGGTGTTTGTTTTGCTGAACTGAATGAATTCTGGTCAGATGTCTTCATAAATTCCTCTTGTGTGGTAGTCATCCTGGACAGGACGGGACTCTGATTTGAAACTAAAATATCTTTCTTTTCCAAATTCTTTCAATACTTTTTGTGATGGTTTCTCTTAGAAAAAATAACCATTTAGCTGGGGGTGTAGCTCGATGGCAAAAGAGCTTGCCTAGCATGCTCAAGGCCCTGGGTCCATCCCCAGCACGCCCCCCATCCCAAAAGAAAAAGCTGTTTATTATAAATGTATTCTCATTGATAAACTGTACATTTTGAAGAATCACATTTATACATGTTCTTGTGTATAAAATTGAATTCAAAATATAAAACTCCATGCTTCTCCTGGACTTTGGTGTTTATATATTCACAGTGCCTTTTGAAAGCTAAAATGTGTATCATTTTCAATCAGTTTTCCATCTATCAAGATAGCACACACGTTTCCAACTTGCCTGGCAGTCAGGTCTGTACTCAGTCTCACAAAAACAGCTTCTCACAACATTCCAGGGATATCAGAAGGGATTAGGACACTTTGTTGGGGGAAGTCTGGTTATAGAAGGAAGCCAAGAAAACCAGAAGGAGTCTGAAGGAGACTTAGGGTGTCTTAGGAAGGCTGGGCTCATCTCAGCTCTTTGAGACGCAGATGGCCGCCCCTTTGCTGTCAGCTTGGGTGTGCGAGGAGGCAGGCCGAGTCCGACCTGCTTACCCACTCCTTGGACCTAAGAGCCCAGAAGGCAGGGAAGCAGCTGACTCGGGGAGTGGCAGCCCTGAAGCCTTGCTGGCCTGGCCACAGGGCTGACAGCAACTCCAGCACCATCTTCAAAGGTTCTTGGCAGCTGCAGTCTGGCCTTCCTGGACTAGTTCTGGGATATGACTTAGATATTGTTTCTGGTTGAGTAACCTCTGATCCTGGTAATCTTCCCTGCAAGATTGTGAATCATGCAAAAGCTCTTTAATATGTTTATTTTCGGCTTAAATCATCTGGGGTTTGTTTCTGTTGCTTGTAACTAAGAGCACGATGCAGACAGGGATAAAGGCCAGATACTAGGAAGTGCTTTGCCTCAAGAGTAGAGAGGGAGGGGAAGCCACAGAAAGGTGGGGATCCAATCCCTGAAAAGCACCTCAACACCTCGCTGTGAAGCTCCAGGCTGCAACCAGATCTTCCTAATTAGCTTTCATGCTCTGCCTCTCAAATCCTCATGAACTCACTCATTCAGTACACATGACGCAGCACCACCAGGTGCCAGGGACTGTTCTGGGCCCTGGATGACAGGAGGGAAGAAAGCCGCAGCAGTGATTTCCAGGGCAATATGGGTCAGAATGAAAGGGGCCAGTGCAGAAGCACCTCTGTGTGCCAGGAAAACCTAGGCTCTTGCAATGCCCAATGCCATGTTTTTTTGTCTTAATATTTCTTTAGTTGCAGGTGGACACAATATCTGTATTTATTTATTTTACTAGGCTGAGGATTGAACCCAGTGCCTCACACACACAAGGCAAGTGCTCTGCCACTGAGCCACGACCCCAGCCCTCAATGCCAAGTTCTATAGGAGCAGCAGTAGCCACGGTTGTCAGGACCCACCCTGTGTAAACAGAACGTGGAGACACAGGCACAGAACGGGTTCTGTGGCTTCCGTAGGAGTCTATGCAACATTCTCTTCACACCAGTCTTGACTGAGTCCCCATTCACTCCTACTCCAAATGTACTTACTTTGACCAAAGTGTGACATGCAGGCAAACTGGAAAATAACTATATTTCAAATGTAGTGAAGGTCAGATCGCCTGTAGATTTACCTAATATCTTTCCCTTTTGTCACCTAAGCAAACTTAGCAATCCACACAAGAATATAAGCATAATAAAATAATAATAATAAAAAAACTAAATGTCTTGGGTTTACTTCAAGTGTACAATACCAACCATACCTTTAAAAATAGAAAAACTGCATACCCAACAAGTCTTTGAACTTCAGTTTGGGGTTTGCATCATCATATTTCTAAGTTTGCCAAAATAAATCAGGAGACCCTAGCTTTCCGATTCTCAGAAGGTAGAACTCATGTGCACAAAGAAACATAGCTGGAAAATAATACGTGACAATGCTCATAGAACATCAAAACATATATAAACATGGGTTTTGTATCAGTGGTCCACTTATGCATTGACTACATACATCCCTTGTAGCTCTAAAACTGACATGTGTTTTCGTTCCAAACTTCTCCTTCCTGACATCCTCTTCCCATCTTTTCTTCTTGACCTTTGCCGGGTTTCTCAGGGGTCACTCCAGTTAAACTGGGCTAACTGGGCTGCACGAAATAACCACACAAGAGACACAAATACCTTTTTATTTGGGGTCACTGTGACGGCTCCTCTGACCTTAAGGGTCCACAGAAAGAGAGAGAGAGCAAGAGCACGTGCTGACCCCTTTTATTGAGGAGAAGTTATTTAAATGAGGCAAGGGGTCAGGTTTCAGGGGGCTGAGTCTATCTTCATGATGTCCACTGTCAGCAGATTGACTGACACCTGGGTAGGCCACACCCAAGGGCACAGTAAGAGAAGGGGACACACACAAGGCACTTCCATGGAAGATTCTATCCTAAACAGGGCAAGGGGTTATATTACAAAGGAACAGGTGAACATAGCTTCACCCATGGGGCTGTAGCAAGACACACCCATGCATGAGACACCAACTCTTGCACCCAAGAAGAGTGGGGAAAGCTCTGCCACATTTCTGCGACTGAGCGTCTCAGCACCCAGCCAGGGAGCGTGACTCAGTCACATGTAAGATTGTTCTCCCACAGACCTTCTTCTCCCTGTCCATCTCCTCCCTCCCTCCTTCCTCCTGCCCATCTCTTTTCTCTGGTCTCCTTCCTAATCTCTCCTCCCTAATCTAGGGAAAAGGGATTCCTCTGAGTCACCTCTGTAATCCCGCACCCCCAGCTCCCATGATGGGCAGAATCACAGGCTCTGGGACAGGAGTCCCTTGTTTCTCCTTTGCTAGTAAAGCAATAAAACTTCTGTTTCCATTTCCTCAAAACCTTGTCTTTGTTACTGGGTTGGAAACGGGGACAAGGACCCAGCTTTCAGCACATTTTGTACATACAAGCAGAATCAGTATGTGTTTTGTGACTTGTCTTCACTATTTAATGTTGGAGAACATTCCTTTTAAATACCTTTTAGTTACTCACTGAAACACATATCGAGTTAACTCTCTACTACCATGAAAACCTTTTAAATATAAATATGAGAAAAGAATTGCCCTATTTGGTGGGGAATGAATACTTTACTAACTCCTTGAGGTTCCTGTCTTCATGTAGGGTAAAGAAAGAGTATAGAATAATGCTTCTACCCTAGAGCAGCCCTCTTGAATTCTTTGGATGACTTGTTCCTTTAAAAATTGTTGTAAGTTAAGGACCCCCTGAAATATCTAGGCACATAATTTTGTGTATTTATAATTATAGGTTCTGTAAAGTCCTTCAGGGCTCATGAGTGCTTAGTCATGCACATTTAGTGTTATTAATTAAGGACATTAAGTGGAAAAGCTACTTCCATTGCAGCATACCTAACCCGATGACTACTTTGGCTAGATTTGGTTGAGGAAACTGCCCCACCACTCTTGTTACTGCAAATTTCTTCCTCTTCACTCCTCTGCCCCTAATAATCGTGGCCCATGAAGGGACCCGATCCAGTATTATAGATCTGCCCTGAACCTTGTTCTGATGTTGGATTGTGATGAGCTTGTGTTTACAGGCAGCAAAAGAGGTGGGGGGTGGGGAGCAGACAAGGGCAACTGCCTGGTCTCCAGGTCACTCCCCCTGCACACAAAGCCTGCCTAGGACCAGCTATGCCAACGGCAGAGAGAAGGCAGGGAAAGAAAACCTCTAAGTTAGTTACCAACTTACTGTGGCAGGATTATACACAATTTAGTACAAATTGAGACAGGCATCTTGCACAAATGTTATTTGGTTCATGGTACCTTAATGAAGCATTTGAGAGTCGAACAGAAAGATATTCCAACATCAGCAAGACTCCAGCTGTTCCTTAGAGCAGCTCCTGCATACATCAGCTCCAGGTACCGCCTGCCTTGTTCGTCTTCTGAGAGAGGAATGTGGAAATAATCCTTCAAGATAACAGCATATTATGAGGAGAGTAGATCTCTAAGTTACTAGACCGGAAAGGTAATCTCTACCCCCCCACCCCTTTCTCTCTAGCTCTCACTCTTTCTCTCTCACTCTTTATCAAAAACATTTCTCCACTGAGCAATATAATTGGGGACAACGGGAAGAAGTATTAGGGTTCTTAACTTAGAGTCTCTAGACCACCTCAAGAAGTTTACAAACAGAATTTGGGTGGGATAAAACTATGTCTTCATTTCATGAACTCTAAATGAAATTAAAAATTTCCTTAAATTATGCTTGACAGCAACAAACTAAAGTAGCACTCGTCAGCTGTATCTGTGACTTTATCACGAATAAAAGTCACTAATACAGAGCTGGGGACATAGTGATAGAGTGTCTGCCTAGCATGCACAAGGTCCTAGGTTCCATACGCAGCACAAACACAAAAAGCTACACATACTTTCATTTTCATGTCACATTACTGGTGTGGCAGATATTTCAAAATGTCATTCATACTGGTCACTGCTTTGCAAGGGTAATAGTTGTTAAATGCACTGCTGGAACCTGTTAGTGGATAATAAAGCAAACCCTCTACACCATACCTCTACATCACAAATTTGATTTTATCATTTGAAAATTTTACTTCAATATAAAGGGCTTCCTTTTTTATCCGTATGTATTTTATCTTATGTATTTACAGATATTCTGAGAAAGACTTCGTAAGTGTCACCTAACTTCCAAAGGAATCCGTGACGCATAAGGTTAAGATCCCCCAGGTTAGAAAATCCCGGTTGTCGAAATCAACCATCTATCACATAACTCAGCTCAACAAATGCTTCCCTGCCATTGGGAATGACCGTCTCCAAGTTAAATATTTGATGGTCAGTTACTAAATATTTTACTTAATTTTTTATTTTAGTGTAAACATTTATAAAAAAAATTGTAAGGAAGATACTGCATCCAAATAGTTTCTTATTCTAGCGCTATGATCCTCGGTGAGATAGCCTCTCTGAGCTTGGCTTACTCTGAACACAAATGAAGTCACAGCTTGCAGTTGGCTGAAGTCCTCTGCTTCCAGAACCCTTTGATTCTTTTTATTTGCTTGCTTACCAAACAAAACATCTATCAGATGACTGGCATTTTCCACTTTCATGGCCTAAAGGTAGTGTCATATTGTTGTCCTTTCATGAAGAAATGCTATCAGATATGTAGGCCATGAACAACCTACTTTTTTCCTGAAAAGTTACTGACTCAGTTTGCTTCCTCATCCAACATATTCAAAATTGCGGTATTCTTAAAACTCTATCTTACAGATAGTGAGGTTTTCAAATAGTTTTTAGCTCCTTGTTTACTGAAAATATGCCGGATAGTATCTCTATCTATGTACATTTTAAACTACACTGCACAATCATAGTTAATGTACATTTTAGTGGCTTGGGACAAAGTACATACCTTTATCATCAGCTTGATAGCTTCCACCGTTTCATCTGCTGAAACATCAAATGGTTCAAAAGATCCTTCAAAAGCTATGAAAATCCTCATCATGCAATTACCTTAAAAAAAAAATCCCACCTGATTTCAAAGATCCTGCTAAATAGTTGGGAAAATTCCAACTCACAATTAAGGACCAAATTGATGGTTGTCCCTGTCAAAGGTGAGAGAATGTGGAGATCCAAGAGTGTCACAGTGCATCCCAGGCAGAGGCCACCTCTGTGTTGCAGGAAGTGCTTCTTTGCCACAGGAGCAAACTGACACCTGGTTCTCATATTACAGAATTCAGCACCCTTGACAATGGCTGAGGCAAGTGTGAACAAGCTTCCCATGTGTAAAACAAAAACACACAGAGAATGACACCTTGGAGATGTGGTCACCACCCCGACTCTTGACTTCTTACTTACTCAAGTATAGCAAAATGAAGAGCCCTTAAAAACAACCCTGTGGCTGAGATGCACCAGAGAGAGAAGCACCCCGCAGTTGGCGACCCTGGAAGTTCTCTGTAAATAACTCAAGTTGAAGCATCTGGTTTCCATAGCGACTCTGTGTGCTTGTTCTCTGGCGTCTTTGTAATCCTGCCACGGGGTCTGGCAATATCTACTTGCACCAGGAGACGGATGTGTAGGCAAACTCGACTTTCCCTGGCCGTCCCCAGAATCTGCTCACAGCAACACGGTGGCACGACATTTCCCTAAGTTCTGGCCTTTCTGTTACTTAGAACAACTTACCATTGTCATCTCCTCCAACCCCACTTGGTGTTGGTGGGAAATGTTTAAACCCCACTCACGAAGTGAGTGAAAACATTAAGCACCATTACTCAAGTTTGTAGAGGAAGCATTTTACTGGGACTTAGACTCTTCTGAGGTCCTTTGATTGGTTCATCTGATTTAATGCTATGATGCCTGTTCCCTTTTTTTTTTTTCATATACATAAATCTTGCATTCTTCCTGAAGTACCTCCTGACCTAGAATAGTCATCACCTTGCATTTCTTTTAATTCTGTGGCCAGGGGACTGGGGTCTGGGGATTGAACCCAGGACTGCACGCATGCCAGGCAAGCACTCTACCCCTGAGCTATTTCACCAGCCTTTTTTTCTTTTTAATTTTATTTTGAGACAGGGTCTTGGTAAGTTGGCCTGGTTGGCCTTGAACTTGGGATCTCCCTGCCTCAGCCTCTGGAGCCTCTGGGATTCCAGGCTTGTGCCACTGGGCCCATCTATTTTCTTTTATTCTTTTCCCCCTTTTATTCTTAACAGCACTCAGACACTGTTGTCATGCGACAACAGCCAGTTAGCCTGTTCACTGTGAAGGACATGGAAACTGCCAAGCCCTGTGGAGAAAGGGAGAACGAGGAGCTTGGACCTTCACAGTCTGCTGTGTCTACAACTGCCCTGACTGCTGCTGCCGACACATTCTGCTGCTGATAAAGTCTCCCTGAACCCTACAACACTCAGACCCCTGTCGTGACCAGTTGCCATTTTCCTCTTGAGAATGTGCCCCTTCGCTGTCAGTGCAGCATCGCTGACCCATGGAGTCTGTCACTGTTTCTTTTTCTTTCATTTGGTGCCAACCCCTAGGATGGGGTTCACGGCTCTTCACCCCCTCCATCCTAACAAACCTCGGTCACGCTTTCATATTTCCTCTTATTTTCTTTTCCTTCCGCCTTATAGAGGAGATCCTTCACACTTTCCAGGTCCACATCAGCTAAACAGTGGCCAGTATGTGACCTGAAACCAACCCCACTCTTGGGCTGGGTTTCTGCTGCCTTACTGACACATGGATGGCAAAGACCTGTATAGGGTCCTTTTCTGGTATTGGGGACTCCCTCCTTCTGACCCTCTCCTTTCCAGTCCCTCCCTCTCTCAGTCTCTGAGTCCTCCAGATCAGAAGCTGCTTTTTGCCATTTTTTTTTTCCCCTTCATGCAACATGGCCTGCTCATTCTTGGGAGAGGTCCCTTCCAGTCTCTCACAGAGTGCTCTGCCATCTGGACCTTGGGGATTCTCTACCATTGGGAATTGCAGGAGGGGAAGCCCTCTCATTCTCCGGTATAACAGAGTTCACTTGATGCTTTGACTATATCCCTTGTGGCTTTGAAACTTACATTTTTTTCTTTTTTCCCATCCTTTTCCTCCCTGGTCCTTCTTTTCCCTGATCTTCTCCTCCCTAATCTCTCCCTAATCTCATTTTTCTCTAAATCACCTCTATAAAAGCCCCCTATTCCTGCAGATGGGCAGAATCACAGCCTTTGGGACAGGAGTCCCCTGTGTTTCTCCTTTGCTAGCAAAACAATAAACTATCTTTTTCCTTTTTCTCAAAACCATGTCCTCATTATTAGATTGGTATCGGGGACAAGGACCAAGCTCTCAGCAACAACAGGAGACATCAAGTGAAACTTTGATCTTAACCACCACTCTACCAATCCTCTCCAACATGGGGGCTACTCCCCCTTAGGTTGTCTCATAAATAATTTTAAGACCCTCCACTTCCAAACCGACCTTAAAATTAAATGCATCATTGGGCTGAGTACTCAGATCTGGCTGCAATATAAATTAAACAACCAGCATCAATGGCCCAAATTTGGCATGTTTGACCCCCAAATCCTCCAAGACTTAGACAATTTCCTCCAACAAAATGGCCAATGGCCTGAGGTTCCTTACCTCCAAGCTTTCTTTCTCCTTCACTCAAGACCCTCATTATACCACCCTTGCTCTGCTCTATAATTAATTCACTGACTGCTCGCTCCCTACGCCTTCTAGATCAGGCCTTGACCCCCAGCCCTCTTTTTCATGTACTGCCCCCCAAATAGTAGATGAGCCCCCACCAAAAACAAGTGAAGCTGGAGGCCATCAGGGAAGGTTTCACAGACAGGAGTGCCTGGTAGCTATCAAAGGAGACTGTCAGAGTCACAAGCTTTGAGTTAAATTGAGACCTGCAAATCTTCCCAACCTTCTATAGTGGAGGCTTGATCTGTTTTTGTATGTGCTGTATGATCACCTATCCCCAATATTTATCCCTCTTATTGGTCTAAAAAGATGCAATGTGGCACATAAAAGTCCTAACTTTACTAAGAAAACCCCTAATTGACACAGATAAAAGGACCTCTACTAAACACACAGGTAATGCCTAAAGGAGGGTATTTTACAAAAATCAAATAGCAATAAACAATGACATCTCATGTGGACATCCGTGACATCATAAAAGCTAAGTGTGGTGCGTAATAATTCTATCAAATGGGTTCACTGTGCTGACCCCCACTTGCTTTGTTTTCCAAGAAGCAATGTACGTGCAGCCCTGCTTGGCCTCTGTGGACAGGATAAATCACATTCCTTAGCAAACTACCTGTTCACTGCAGGAGAAATGCAGTCCCCAAACAATGTTGATAAAAGGTGGGTTGGATCCCCCTTCACCCAGGTGCTGGGAATGTCGGTCCCGACTTGCTTCAGTTTTTTTTTCTGTGGGAAAAAAATTTGTGCATGGGACAGAGGAAGGCTTGAGACAAACAAAGGCAGCGGGCTGGGGTCACTCTCCCGTGCTGCAGGAAGGTCTCACGTCCTAAGTCTGACCCCAACAGCCCACAGGGTACCAAATATCGACGACTGTCTGTCTCTGTTTCGGATTGACTTGTCCCCATGTGGAGGGCACCCTCACCCAGTGAATCTTGGATCCAAAGATGAAATCTCAGTCTGACCTGAGGTCTTTGGGAAAGAGGTGCCCCATTAATCTCTCAAGCCTGAGCCACGTGACCTCTCCCTCTTCAGAAATGCTTCTACCCCAGTTCTGTCCACACTGTCTGCCCCTTAAACAGGGACCCGTTATGAGAGATTCTCAAGATAGAGCTCCCCCAGCTTTGAAATTAGACTCCCTTCTCTAGGCTCTCACAGGACACATCTCCTGTACTCCCCTCAGCTGGCCAGAAAAAGAGCAGAAAATCTGTCTCAACTTAGAGTAAAACTACGCCTCATCTGTCCTAGTTCAGGAATCCAAATTATTTATTTTCTGTAGTGGAGATGTCATCCAGAGCAATAACAGGCTTGCCTCCCTTTTCAAATTGAGGAGCATAATATGAAATCATGGTCCTGTGAGTGTGAGGACCCAAAAGGACAACTGGGGAAATGAAACATGGTTAGAATGCCCTGTGCATGAGGTTTTTGCTCAAAACAGCAGCTTACCTTACTTCTTAGCTTCTGCCAGACTCTCTCTCCAAGGCCTACAGAGCATGCAGAACTTTCAAGATTTACAAGGCTTTCAGAGAACCAGTTGAGAACAAAGGGAAAAAAAGTGTCACTTTTAAATACAGGCCACTTGTGGAACTTAAATGGTTGGTTATCTTATCTCTTCTTAGCAGTCTAACATGCTGCTTTCTTAAGAAGTTCCTCCCTAAACACTACAGCACAGGGAGGGAAGATGGAATGATCTCATGGATTCAAGTCTTCTGTACCTTGAAAATCTTTGTCTAAGGATTTCAGGGCTCTCTCTTTCTTTCCATATCTGAACTGACTCTAATCTGATCCCAGGGTGTACTCTGATCTGATAAAGGTGTTCTGCATGCTCCTTTACTAATTACAATGTGTCATCTTTTTTTTTTCTTTTTTTTTTTTTTAGATCTCCTGCTTTTAAAAATTCTACATTTTGGAGTTCATGGTTTTATGGTGAAACCACATTTGATCCTGAATGCTTAAATTTAAATATTTTTTTTCCTGGTCAGTCTTATTTTATCTAACTGTAGAGGTTTTTATACTCTGTCTTTGTTTAGATGCCAAATTTTCAAGGGTTAGCTCTCAAATACATTGGAGAATCTCTTTTTACAAAATCCTAAAAAAGGACATAGACATGGTGATGTTGAGAATAAATCTGATAGCCATTGAGGGCAAGTAGCCACCTGAACTTTTGATCTCAGTGTCCGCCGTGGCCATCAGACTTTACACCTAGCATTTCCAACTGCACAGGCCTCTGTATTTAAAGCGTAATTTGAAAGTCTGATAAGCCCTATTTTAATTTCTAACAATTTAAATCCAAAAGAGGCTTTAGTAAACATTTGAGCATTGCCTCCTACCTGTGAAGATCTACCTACAAATAGCTACAAGATCTCTGTTACCTGTCTGCTTTATGTATGTGTGTACACCTGTGTATTGTGTTGGGTCTACGTATGTTCTTATGTCCATGCATCATATGCATGGTATCAAAACTGGCATATAGATAAATGATTGCTCATAAATTAAAATTTAAAAGAGAGATGGATCCAAATGCCTTTTGGTTCACACGACTTTAAAAAATTCGATTTAAATTAAGTAGACAG